TAAGCTCAAATTTTATTTACTAATATTATAATGAAGAATCTATTTTTGGATGTGGTTTATTTGGCCCGTTTTTAAATGAAATTTGGATCCCTGGTTACGTTGCTTCCATACATTAGGACCATTATTATACTTTTTGGAACCTGTGACCTAAAAACCATGTCATGTAGACCTTCACTTACTTGGAAACGCTTATTTTGGTACTTCACTACTTCCTAAATTCCTTCATTTTTTTTATCGAATGCTCTGAAATTGTCTTCTGAACATAACCAGAAAACGCAAAGAAATCTAGCAAAGCACAGTGTTATGACTGCCCTTAATATTTGCTTTAATTAAAGTGTTCAATGAATTGTCGAAGTTTAATATGTAAGGAAATGATGTCAGATGCATATAATAAAAAAAAAAGAAACCTGTATGTCAGTGTACAATATGTGTGTCATGTGTGTCTAAGTGTGTCTTTTGTTTCATGCTCCAGGTTCTGTTAGTGGACGGGTCAGACTTCTTTCGAAATGCCCGAGTCAGCAAGTGTAAGGGGGTTATTGTTTCTGACGACGCCACGTCACCAGCGTGGGAGCTTCTCAAAATATATGTCACCGACTCCTCGAACGATTTTTTAAATGGTTTCACGTGCAAAGAAGCCCTGGATCTGACGTCAGCTATAATTGTTTCAAGAAACTCCGATGGGTAATTTAACACTCTAAGATCATTTTAATGCTTTTTACCTAAATTTTAATAAGTTTAAGAATTACACACAATATATATGAAACAATGCAAACACGGTAATGAGATTAAATATTTCTGACGTTAATCGGATGCAAAATGCTCGAGACATAAAAGTTATAAAAATCAATCTATAAACCCAACCAAAGTAGAAACTTCAAACAAACAATATGTGAAAAGCTATGCTATATTTGCCAATTTTGATCTTAACTTGCTTACAGTGACACGAAACCTCTGCTAGAGAGCATCAAACAAAGTGAGGAGGATATTTTCGTAGAGGCTTTAAGTCCTGGTGATCTGGCTGCTGTGTTCTGTACATCCGGTAGCACAGGGTACTCCAAGCTGGTACCTCGCCCCCATGAGGATATCATTCGCCTTTATCAGACGTTCGCAGATGACAGTAACAACACAGATAGCGACACCAACACGTTTTACAGTGGTCAGAATATGGGTGAGACGTTTCTTGTTGAACTGTTTGCCTAAATTGGATAGCTAAAATATTTTTGTTTGTTTTTTTTTTAAATTTTAGTTCATTGTTCGGAGTAAATCTCAATGCATTAACTTTATTTATATGAACTTAAAAGAAAGTGTACCTAAAGTCAGGCATCTCAATGAAGGTGGAAATACGTGTCCCTGGAGTCAGACATTGTCAATGAAGTTGGAGGTAGATAAGCTCCCAACATTCAGATACTAATGGAGGTTTTGACAAGCACTTGGAGATGTATTTGTTTGGTTCTCATATAATTTGAAAATAACGGAAATTCATTTAAATTTCAATTGTATTATATTTCAGGGTGGCTTGGTGGATTTCCAGGCATTGTTTATTGTTGTGGTGCTACACAGGTTCTCTCAGACAACTATTCAGCGCAAGGCAAACTCAGTCCCTCTGATATACTTGATATGAACTTTAAGGAGAATTGTCAGATGTCCACCGTTCGACCGATTCATCTGCAGGCGATTGAGGACTACATCAGGTCGATTGGTGGGCTGACTCGTAAACTGAAGTGTTTGATTGTTGCCGGGCAACCAGTAACCAAGGTACTCTACAAAAGATGTCATTTTAATAGTAGAAAATTTTTAAAAATTTAACAATGACACTTTGGTAATAACGGAAAGACCTCCTGATAGTCTAAGCTTAAAATATTTCATCCAGTTGTTATTTAACACACTTATTTACAAACTATGTGTTTGCTAACTTTTTTTTTTCATTGAAAAGTTAAATTAATAATTATATACAGTAGACCTACAGTGCAACTATTTACAATGCGGTGTGATGCGAAGTTATGGTAATGGCCTGCTTTGTGCAGTCCGTCTGGAAGGTTGGCGAGCACAGATCTCAGTGATTGTGTCTAAAAACAGTTTGTTAAATATTTACTTCCGCTTTCACATGGTCCTTCCTTTACAATTTTTCAGAAGCAAATTTGTAACGCGTTCCAGCTTTCTGAACACGTAATAATATGGTACGGAGGAACAGAGTCGTCCGGCATTGCATCGTGCGTAGCTGAAGGTAAAAATGATGCCTTAATATTTCGTTGAGCCTACATCGATCAGCCGTTTAATTTCTAAAGTCTGCTGAAGCATTGGCGCCTTCTGGTGGGGATTTCCATGACTCTTTTAAATTGAGGAAAGCAACACATTTGATCGAGCTTAGCATTAATCATGTTTTAATACATCAATTCAGCTAGCTGGTCGGTTTCTGACATCCTCACCCGAATGCTGACACTTTTCTCTATACTTGTCTTACTTACAGACCAATTATGTTGTATTAGCTTGACAGGCACGCACATTTTACTTAGATTTACAGCACACATAATGTATGATGCATATTTGATCGTTCTGAGATTAAACCCCTTAACGAATCAATGTGCCAGTGAGTGGGTGAACTATTAATTAAATATTTGTCAACTATAACAGAAGACACCTATGAAGACTACAAATGTGGAAAGCTACTCAAGGGCATACAACTTCGAATTGTTGATGGCGAAGGGAAGCAATGCGCTCCAAGAGAGCTGGGAACTATTCATGTCAAAGGTCAATAGAATTATTTCTCTTTATCACGTTGTGCGCTTAGACATCAGAACAACCTTACGTTTCTTAACACGGAACCATGCTCACAAATTGGAATATACAGATAAATATTTATTTTTAAATCCTTTATATTAACTACGCTATTGTTCGTGGCTGGGTGGCTGACTGGTCAAATCTTTGGACGGCTAATTGACCCACTTTCCGTCAACCTTTTCAGCTAAAACTTGGCACATAGACTCCATGTCGCTGATAACACATCTAATCGAATTTTCAGTCCCACTTTCCTCACTGCAAGTCCCCAAAATCACCCCCTTTCAAGAGGAATATGAAGAGAGTATGATGAAACTGCTTTCAGGAAATAATATTCCCTATGGCTGCATTAATGAGACTCTTTTTTTCAAAAAACATATATCGCAAGTGTGTTTGGTGCGTACTATTTTCTTTGGGTTTTTTTCTGAAATAATAAATTTAAATACATATTCGGTGTAAAAGTGGGTGGGTCATTAGAATATAATATAGTTCAGGGGCTTGAAAAAATATGCGATTGCGAGCCTAATTGGGATTCTTATAAAGTGCGTTACTTATATGCATGTTTTGTCAAATGTTCAGCCTCCCCCCCCCCCCCCCAATCAGGGTTTTTTTCAGTGCCCCCCCCCCCCCGGGGAAAGCCAAGTGCCCCCCCGAGNCCCCCCCAAAAAAAAAAATCTGAAGTGCCCCCCCCCCCCGGGGAAAATCTGAAAGAAACACTGCCCCCGATTGTTTGATGGTCAATTTATATTTTAATAAAATTATAAGCAGCTTTCGTATATTTGAGTAGGACAGGCGAGAAACCTGGGGCTGAGTCATAGCGTGACATTGGAAGACCTCTTTTCGGGCTTTGCGCTTACAGGGCCAAAAAGACGACACAGCGTGGAGTTACTTAAATACGTCATAGGCAAAGGGATATGGTGGGGGGTGGGCAAGTTTAAATTATGGTTATAATCTGCTTGCAACATAAGCATTGGCACTCATGTGGTAAATTTAAATTTTCAGAGCCTAAATATCACTGGGAAAAAAAGGAATTTTGCAAAATAGAAACAATTAAAAACACACAAAAAAATTAAAAACAAAAAATTGCAAATACTTTGTAAACTAGATCCTTTAAACAATTCCCTAGACAAAATGATCCCTTTCATTAAAATTGTGTTCCCCAGGAGAGAATGTTTTCAAAGGCTACTACAATCGCCTTGAGGATCCCGACCCCGACACAGCTAAGGCTTTCACTCAAGATAACTGGTTTAACACCGATGACTTCGGTTACTTGGATGAGGATGAAAACCTTTTTGTGCTGGGGAGGAACAAGGACGCCATTATTTACGGCTCCGTTGTTTTTCAACCAGTCTGGCTGGAGAATAAACTCAAGGAGCACCCGGATGTGGCTGAAGCTATTCTGGTTCCGGTAAGTTGAGCAAATCGTTGCTTTTGAAAGCGTATTGCTAATTTAATGTAACTTCATATTGGCGATGTTCAAATGTATTTGGTTTTGTTGATGAAGTGTCTTCAAAATCTCTCATCTCTGATTCTATTACCGCTAATGTGCTAACATTTTCTACAGGTTATTCTTTATTGGGGCTTTATAATCATAAAAAGCGACTCGTTATTGAAGATTTGAATTGTATAATTTCAATGTTGGAGCCTCATTGAGAGCACCATGGACCCATGTTAATTAGAAGAAAAAAAGTTTGTATAGGAATTAGAACCACTAATGAGAAGTATTTATATTCGACTTGTCAATGGGCTTTTCTGTTGCATACATTTAGCTTCGACCCCCAGGTGAACAAATCTTCTATTACCAATTGCTCAACTTTGCAGAATCCGCAAAAACGAGTCAGTACATGTGAATGTTTAAAACAACCTTTTTAAAGCAAAAAGTCTTGAGCTGGAACATAAGAGTGGGACACATACAAAGTTAATCAAACCTTTAAAATATGTAGTTTTGTTGTTGTTGGTGGGTTTTTTTTTAATATATATTCTTATAGTTTTTTTTTAAAGTCACTTGAAATTTTATTTAGGTACTTTCTTATAGGCCTAGCATTCTAGTTCATGTGTTCTAACGTTATTTTGATACCAACGTATGATTAGTAACTTGCTAAATTTTAAGACTTCTGTTCTTGTTTTTTTCCCCCAGGTGTCTGACCCAGTGATCTATCACAACATTTGTGCTTGCATTTTGCCAAGACCTGAAAGTAACTTAACAGAAGCTAACCTGAGAGCTTATTGTGAAAGTATTTTCCTCCCCAATCTTGGATACTTAACACCAAAACCTGGTTACTACATGGTAATACACGCATCAAAACCTTGCTATTATGTGTTAATAAATGTACCAACACCTGTTACATATATGGTAATATATGCAACAAGTCCTGGTTTTTATATGGTAATATGCACCAAAACCTGCTAGTAATTATATTGTAATGTATGCACTGAAATCGAGTTGTAATATGGTTTAAAAAATATGTCACAAACACTAACTCCAGTAGGCCGAAGGAAAAAAAGATGTTGATCATTGATATAATCTTGACCTTTGATTAGTTTTAAATTTAGGGGTTAAACCCCCCCCCTCCACAAAATTGCTTCCCATATCGATCTTGAAAGGTTACCAGCAAGCTGAATCTGGGCACACATGGAAGGTTCTTTTCTTAATTAAGCAAGTCAGTAAAGTGCATCCGTCTCCTAAGCTCCTCAGCCAAGTTTCTGTAGGTCTCTTAAACCTCTTTGTATACTCACTTGAAACGCCATACTTCTTAATTAATATAAACACTGCTAAATGAACATTTGATAAATTAACTCACAACTTTCAGATTCTGAAGGATAATTTTCCATGGACAGCAAGCGCAAAACCAGACAAACAGAAGCTGAGAAAAATGGCCGAGGATGCATTTGGTTATATTGGAAAGGAGTCTGTTTGAGATTTATATTTTCCATTTAAAAATTACATTTTAAGAACTCTGAATAATTGTTATTTTTTACAGGAATTTTTTTTTTGAAACCTGGAACTCAAGAATCAAAATTAATGTGGATTGAACTTTTATTTTTATGAATCAATTTTTTGCAACTTTCCAGAAAAAAATCAAGATAGCTAATGGTATTGAGAGGAGACCTGTTTAAAGAGCCTCTTTTACGAAAATTAACTTCGAAAATGATACTACACCACAGAGCAGTGGGGGGGGGGGGGGGGCAGAAACCATTTGCTTATATTGTACAAAGGTAGGATCTCCACTTCATGCTAACGATATATGCTGGAATTTATTAAACTTATTTTTTAAATGACTTTTTTAGAAAAAATTAGGGGCCTTTTTTTTTTTGCTGACCCTGCCAAGATCACTTTGCATAATGCTACGTCTTCTATGATTAAAAAGAAAATACACCACAAAGGGGTGGGGGGGGGGGGGGTCAGAAACCATTTGCTTATATTGTACAAAGGTAGGATCTCCACTTCATGCTAACGATATATGCTGGAATTTATTAAACTCATTTTTTAAATGACTTTTTTAGAAAAAATTAGGGGCCTTTTTTTTTTTGCTGACCCTGCCAAGATCACTTTGCATAATGCTACGTCTTCTATGATTGACAAAGGTTGCTGACCCTGACACATTCACTATGCGTAATACTGCGTCTTCTGTGAGTGACAAAGGTTGCTGACCCTGCCACTGAGGATGAGTTTAATTTTGAATAACAGCAACACAATCTGGCCAGTACAACAGAATCAAATGCTCAACAATATCTTCTAATTATAATTTTATTTTCTTGTAGAAAAAATTATATCAAATTAAAAATATATAATATACGGAAGGAACGTAATATCCCAGGCTTTTATGCTTTGGTTTTTTTCCTTAAGTAAGATAAAATGTAAAAAAATTTGGTAATAAAAGCAATGGGTTAATTTAACACAACCACACAAAAAGTCTGCAGTTTGAAATTGTTAAACTATCTCACCACAGCCTTATCAAAAATCTTTCTCACATCAAGTATAAGAAATCACACAATGCACAATCATGTATAAAATAAGCAGTTTACAAGTTTAAGTGTCTTTTGATAAAAAGCAATTGATTGGCACGGCCATTCTAAAATGAAGTCTCTCATCAAATGTAATAGAAATTGTTTTAAAAAGTGTGGAACTGAAAACTTGATTTAAAATGGCACCACTGGATCTAAAGTTTTGTTACGTGGATCTCAAAAAAATATCACCAAGGGATTTCAAAATGTTACCACCCCTGAATCTAAAAAATATTAGAATATCACTTTATTTAAATTATCTTAAAATCACACCTGAACTTTGTAAAAAAAAAATGTCATTTTATGCTTCTATATTTACCAATTATTCTAATGATAAGCATGATAAATAAATTTAAAAAATTAATCTGACAGAAATAGTTTTTAACATTCTAAGATTTTCTCCCAGTTAAGAAGCTAAATGATTGTAAAGGTCACCAGCATTGGGCCTATGATGAAAACTGTGCGTCTTATGTAGGTCAGCAGAGGATCCAGAACAAAGCACAAAGGTAAAATGATAGATCACCTTGTTTGGGTTTAAAAGTCACATAATTCCAATTGAGTTTGCTAGGAAATTAAGGTGAGCCATACTGTTTCATCAACCTTGGAGTTGAAGGCTGAAGATTAAGGACATTTACATTTCACAGTGAAAAAGGCTTTTTTTGGATTTTAACAAATATTTAAAGTTCTTTGCAAATTTTTTTTTTTTTAAATTATTCAGAAACTATTTGATTATTACTGACTTCTCTTCTAAAGAGTTTCATCTTGTAAAGAATTTGTGCATGACTTGATTCTTTTTTTTTTTAAAAAGCCAAAGTAGGCATGTTTTTATGGTTACAAAAAACTACAAATCATTTACAATTTACAAAACAATTGAATCAAAAATTAATTAAAATAGAAAATTAGTGAACCCTTAATGAAGAATGTGAGACCATTTTTTTAAATTTTAAAACTATTATTGGGTCTTTCAATAAGAGTTTCATATTTACTATCAAGTCCATTCTCGATTTTCCTGTTTGAGATCCTCCTGGGATAGTATTTAGTTCCTGTTTAATGTTCTTGTCAGGCAAAAAACAACAGATTTCAGTTGTTCCTATAAAGTCTTTACAGCATTACAAGGAGGACAGTTCTTAGAACCCAGTTCTCCTGGGCTAGGATTTAGTAATTAACTGTAGAAAACATAAGCACCAAATCAGTGCAATGTCGGCCACAGCAACTGTGTCAACCACTGAGCAGGCAGACACCCATCACAAATTTTGCTTGAAACTCGCTCCTTGAGGGTGCCAGCAGCTTATTTCCTCTTTCCTTTCCCACTTTTTTTCTCCTGCTTGTCACTGGAACTGGAAGGCAAGGCCAGCATCTTGTCCCCCGGTGCAGGGGCACTCATCTCGTCCGCCCCGACACTACGAAACCTGTACATCATGTTGGCCATACTGTCCTCCATTTCTGAGGCCCGCTCTGAGTGCATCTGAATCATCGATACAAAATGAATGCATGCAAATCATAGGAAAATTTGGAGTTTTCAACATAACTGAATACAGTAATTTAAAAAAGAAAAAAAACGATTTTTAAAAACAGTACATAAAATAGCATTGTTAATCATATCATAATCATTAATTAGTGGTATCCATGAATACGCTCTGAGTGAATCTGAATCATCGATAAAAAATGAATGCATGAAAATCATAGGAAAATTTGGAGTTTTCAACATAACTGAATACAGTAATTAAAAAAAAAAAAAAAAAACGATTTTTAAAAACAGTACATAAAATAGCATTGTTAATCATATCATAATCATTAATTAGTGGTATCCATGAATTAAGAGCAATGGATTAAGTTTATAAAAAACAGAACATTACTGGCCATAAAATAACAAGAAATGACCACACAAACAAAACAAAACAATAATATTTTGGGCAACTCGGACCAACATGTGCTGGTTATAAGACGATACATACTAAAACTAAGCCTAACACACATTTTGATTAAAAACTAACCATGATAAAAACTTCAGTTTTTTTTTTTTAAATTGTAACTTATGCAGAGCAACACCATTGCGCAAGTCTTGAGGGATGTGTGAATTTCATTTATTCCTTTAAATACTAATGAGAGGAATGTGTATGGATGCATTTGGTTGTTGTTGTTTTTTTTGGGACCCCTGAAAGAAGCATTTAGTCGCAACTTTAAGGGATATAATAAAACACAATCTTTCAAACTGAAACACAAAAGATTGATAAGTGGGCTGTGAGGAATTTTTTGAACATCTTTTTACTCTTCATATCTGTCCTAAAGAATCAAAACTTCATGAAAAAAAAGTACAAATGCTTTTAGAAAAAAAAAAAAAATGCTTAGGAACATCCAGGGACTCACTTGCTTTGCATAGTTAAATAAAATTAAGGACATACTTTTTTGAACTTGGTGGCAATGTAACCTTTGGTGTATTCCCTGGGAGGTGGTGGAGCTTTAGCACTAGAGTTCTGCCCATCATCGTACAACTCATCAGTGTCACTGTGTTCACTGTCACTCCTTGTATGTCCAAACTGGTCAATCTCTTGCTGGAACACATCACATCAAGCAGACTTAAAACCACAAAATTTATGTTTAGAAGTGTATTTCTCTCTTTGTATGCAAGTGCAAGACATAAAAATTATTTATTTTTTAGAGGTCTTTACAGTGCAAGCTTTCCACACAAAAAAAAAAAAAAATGGGAGTTGTGCTGACTTCATCTTATCACATATAAAAAAAATTATATTCCCGTTGACTACATGGGTCAAATCTTTCATTTCAAGGGAAAAGCAGACTTAAAACCACAAAATTTATTTTTAGAAGTTTATTTCTCCTTTTGTATGAAAGTGCAAGACATAAAAATTATTTATTTTTTAGAGGTTTTTACAGTGCAAGCTTTCCACAAAAAAAAAAAAAAAATGGGAGTTGTGCTGACTTCATCTTATCACATATAAAAAAAATTATATTCCCGTTGACTACATGGGTCAAATCTTTCATTTCAAGGGATCTAAAAATAAATCCAAGTGACCTTCATCAGGTAATATTTTATGATTATAGTCATAACACTTTTTAAAAATAAAAATTCTTTCTCCTCCTTGAACTTTTTACTCTAGTTCACTTCTCCAATAAAAAGTTTATACTCTAGCTCACTTCTCCCACTGGATCAATAAAAACTTTATACTCTAGCTCACTTCTCCCACAGCTTCAATAAAAACTTTATACTCTAGCTGACTTCTCCCACTGCATCAATAAAAACTTTAAACTCTAGCTCAGTGGTTCCCAAACATTTAAGTTTGGCCAACCGGTGAACAAGTTTCGAAATTATACCAGGGACCGGTGCATGATTTATTTTTATACTTTTATTTCTATTTGACAATAAATATTTATGTAATGGGGACCGGCAGCGTTAGGCATGCGGACCGATGAAGGTCCACGGACCGCCATTTGGGGACCACTGCTCTAGCTCACTTCTCCCACAGCTCCTATAAAACCTTTATACTCTAGCTCACTTCTCCCACTGCGCCAATAATATATATATAATATATAATCTACTGTCCTTCACCCCTCTACAACATTAAGAAAAAGTTTGTAGATTTCATAGGGCATATTTTCTATGAACCCAAATTAATGATATTTAGCTCTTGATCTCTAAACAGCAACAGTTTATTGGATAAAGACATGACAACAGCCCACCATCTGCTTCCTCTGTATAAAGTTTTCCATGCTCTGTATCTTGCTGTAGATGACTTTATATTTGGCACGGTCCATAGTTGAGGATGTATCACTGTGCCTGTTAAGTAAATAATGCATTATTTGTTTCCTGCTCTTCTGGAACATTGATTTCATTAAATCTTGCATGGTGAAAATAATCCAAGGCTGCCAGGAAGCAATAATATATGACAACTTTAACTAAACCTGATTTCAAAATCACACATATTTCACTGCATCAGTAAAGCTTAGGCCAGTGGTCATAAATCGCGGCTCGCCCGCATGCAGCTCTTAACCAACCTGAGTGCGGCTCTTTGGCACCATATATTCATGCGCACAATCATTTTCAAGCATGAACCTCATCAAGAGTAAATTGAGAAATTGTTTTACGTTTCGGATCTGACATCCTGCTTGAAATTAAAAACAATGACATACGAACCAGACTTATACTAACTTACCAAGGAAATACAAGGTCATAGTTCACATTAAATGGGTGTTTTTTTTGTTTTTTTTTCAAGAAGATTATTATTATAATATCTGGTTGAATTTTATGTTTAATGCGTGTTTTGTATTTTTTGTCAATAAATAAGATTATTATTATAACTGGTTGTATTTAATGTTTAGTAGCCAGTTTAAACCGACTCCGAAAAACATGGCTCTTCACAGGTTCTTAAAACGAAATTTAGCTCTCAAAAATTTTTTTAATCCCCCTGCTGCTGATTTTTGGCTCTTTTGACTAATGAGTTTGGTGACGACTTGCTTAGGCTAACAGAGATGAGCCACATGTACACATGTACACTCGAAAATTTCCATATTTTGGATCAATAAAGAATCTTATCTTATTTTTTTTTTTTAAATCTAATATTTTTTATTTAAATAAAGAATCAATACTTCTTAAACTTTGATAACAGCCAAACATATCTGACTAGACTCACAGAATCTGAATAGTTTCAGACAATTATTTGAAAAAAGTTGGAATTCTTTGCTATTATTTCAAGAAAGGTTAATACTATCATACAGTTTCTTCAATAATTCGGAATGTTTTCAGGAAATTATTTCAATAGAGGGTAATACTAATAGTAACAGCTTGATGCCAGTTAGGGCGAATATTTAACACAAAACTTACTTAATGATGGCTAATGGATTTTACCCACGTTTTGCAAATGAATGACTTATCGGTTGCATACAAGAGTGACTTACGTGTTCCTCCAGGCAAGTCTCTGATTCATCAAAGCTAGGCCTCTGGATTTGGAAAACTGCCCTTTCAGCGCTAAGTCTGCTGATTTCTTGGCAGCATGAGCTCCAAGTACTTCAAGGTTGGCATCTGTGGAAGAAAGACAAGCCCTTTGAAACATTTTCACATAATGATTCACTGTTTTGTTCACTAAACATTTTTTTGACACATTTTTTAAAAATCTTTTAAAGGGGATATTTGTTTGGTTTTTTTTTTCATTTTAAAACTCAAATCTGCACATTTAAAAACATTTTAACAGAAATTTAAGGTGATTTTTTTTTTAAAATATTTAAAAGCAGAATTTCAGCATCTTGTTATTCAACTTCGTTATTTAAAAAATAAAATAATTAGTTATGTTAGCTATACAAAACTTTTTTTTTTTTTAGAATATAAAAATGGTCTATATGTTTATAGACCATTTTTTTATAGATTTTTTTCATCTTTTGCAATGATGTGAATTGAAATTTCACAATTTTTATTTTCGGACTTTCGGAACAAGGTTCTCAAAGTGATTTTGTGCTTATGGAAAAGCTAAGAGCCAGAAGTAACTGACAGTAACAGTTTTTTTTTCTTTGATAACAAAGGCTTCAAATTTATTTGACACTATTTTCACGTAAATTTTGACCACTCACTTTTTTCTGTCACTTTTCTGTCACAAGTAGCAGGCATGGCCCTTGTGAGGACCCTCAGAGCCTTGTTCCCCTCTGTGTCTGTGTACTCAATCTGCAGCTGGAATGGGAAATTCCTTGCTGCATCTTCAGTATCAGGAACTTTTAGAGGATCTTCAGGGTCTCCGGCACCAGGGGCCTTTTGAGAAACTCCTTTGGTATCCACTCCACCTGCATGCTTCAAAAAAAAAAACAAAAAAAAAAAAAAAAAAAAAAAAACAGAATATAGTGGCCTTGAAACGTGAAGAAGTTATTTTATAGCTCTTGAAATAAACATCTATGGCTAATGAGGTTGATCATGCTGGTAGAGTTTTTTCATATATTTCTTTGCATGTCACTTTGCTTGTTTGCTAAGTACTACTTATTTGCCTTCCTTCACCATCAGACACTGCATATAATTTTTCACTCCTGGTAATTATGACTTTCCATTATTTTAGAAATTTGAAAGTAAAAGTAGATGAAAAAACAGGAAACAGTACAACAAGGTATGTGGACAGCTTGTTCTACTATTTCCTTCACACAGCTGGAATGCAGTCCCTCGTTTATTATCCTTTATTCTCTGGAAAAACAGGAGCATACCATGTCCGAATTTTCTGACTTTGATGACTGACTCCCTTCAGTGGAGCTTTCAGAAGAGTTCGGCACATCTGAAATTAAAAGCGGTTAAAGAGATTAACATTTTTATTATTATTTTTGCTACTATGCAAGTTGAAACTTTTCAGACCAGCCACATTTTCACAAGTCAGGTAGAATGTAGACTCTCAATGCTTTGGAACTCAGGTCAAGTGCAAAGGTCAAATTTTCTGTCTCTAAATGGATTTTCAGAAATTTTGTAGCATAAGCGTGTTGAATTTTAAAACTAAATGTTTCTTGTGACAACCCCAAAATAATTGTTAAAAAAGTATTCACCCAAGTTAAAACATGCTTGTGATAAATCTATGCCTAGTACCCTGAAAAAGAGGTATACCTTTCATTAGCCACTTAAGTCAAAATTTTGTTTAGACTATATAAACTAATCACTGCCAGATGGGGGCCTCTTTGCAGCTATTTTTCTTTGATTTGAAAGTGTGCACAGTACATAACCAAAACACAAGAAAAAAAATTCTTTCCTAAGGACACTAAAGATACTCAAAGCTTATTTAATTTGTTTATCCAATCAACTAAGAAAATGTGTTTACCTGCAGTAAATTAGTGAATTTTCAATGTAAAAAAACATTTGAATCATATAATTTTATATTATAAAGCTCTACAGCCTTGTTTCATGAGATAACACATAAAATTTTCATTGATCAAAAAAAGGAAGATGAAATAATAAAAAGAACAAAGTTTTATTCCAGAATCCACTTACCACTGGACTGCTTTCTTTTTGCAAACTCAAATGTGATGGTGGAACTACTTTTAACGTTTCCAGCATTGTGCTCTGCTCGACTTAGTTTGCTGTCTGGATCACTTTCATCTATGACGTACCTATGAAGCAATGGATAACGCTGTTCATACCAGTGAAAATTACAAATTTGTTTTTCTTTAAAACAGAGATGTTAGTTTAATGTAGATAATTTTAGTTTTAATGGAGATCTACTTCAAATTTAAGAGTAAAAAAGTTCAAACCTACAGGTCCAAGACCACTAAAATATTTGGACCCAACTTTTACTATTTTATATAATTTGTTCAATAAGTGTCTGCTGCTAAAACATCAACAAAGAAATCATTTTAAAGTCAATATTGGGTGAGAGTTTTAAAAGGCATTATGTTTTATTTTTTACGAATTTAATGTTCAAAATACTAGTCTTTCAAAAAAATAAATGATCAGTCTAAAAAAAAAAGGATAGGATAAAATAATTTGCATTAATTTACTAACAGTTCCTTGTGAAGAATGAAAAAAGCTTTGACTCTTGTGGCTATAATGGGGTCAGCCAGGATGTTACCAAACTCCTCAGTCAGTTTTAAGGGGTCAACAATGTTGACCTAAAATGCAGTACAGATAAAGGAATGCTGTAAAATGAATGTCTCAAGTTTTACAAGTCAGTAATAAAAATAGTATTAGATCTAACCCTTTATTTTGTTCAAAAAAAAAAAAAAAAAAAAAAAAGATAAGTCACTGCTTAAGTTTAACCCCAAAATGCCCAGGAAAAATCAAAATGAAGTTAAAATGGCTGAAACTGGAAATGAAAACTCAAACTATAATTTTAGCACCAAGATATGTTTGTTTCTTTAAGTATGTCTTGAAGAAAAGTTTAGTCCTTGGAAATGTCACACTTGTGTGTTCTAGAGTTACCTGTCCTCCTGTCTTATCGGCCAACATCCCCACATGGACCAGTTTGCAGTCTGTGCCTTCTATCGTTATAACAGATACTGTTACTCTGAAACACATTTAACTCATTCATAACATTAATGTGTGCTTACATTTACATTGACATGTGCCACATATAACCCAAAAAAAATCTTGTTAAGCTAATTTTGTATAAAACAAAAAAAAATTAATTATTCACCAGGACAATTTAAAAACCAAGTAACTATGAGAAATCCATCAAACTTAACACACATTTTTTTAGTACACATGGAACATAAATGCTATGTAAACCTATCCAAAAATTCTGACTGAAATTATTTAACTATCCAAAATTCAATCAATTTATTTTGTTTCTACTTGCAAATGTAAAGAGAAAACATTTGAATGTGCTTAACATTTCTCCTGCTAACATGATTCATTGTAGGGCAGTGTGAGGAATAAGCTGCACCCAGGACAAAGCCATGACTCTGGTTCCTTACAACATAGAAAGAAACAGTGTATGCATAATGCCCTCTAAACTGCTATATCCTACCCTTCAGCAAGTGCCCTCTCTACAGTATTAGATCTTACCCTTTAGCAAATGCACTCTCTGCAGTGTGGGTGTAAAAATCCAGTGCTGCCTGTTCTTCTGTGCTGTCCTCCAGTTTGCCCAGTCCTATGTTGGCCTTGCCGTCTGTACACAAGATCACCTTTGAACCTGGGTGATGTGCTGCCATGTTGACTGCAACAATCAGGGCAGGGCCTAAGGCTGTTGCTCCGCCCTCTTCTAGGCTGTCAATTTTGGTGGTTGTTTAGAAAAGTTGTCAAACATATTTTGGAAGCATGTTTCAGTTTTTAAACTAGTCATTTAAAAAGTTAGTTAAGGCAGGTCTACAATAAATAAATAATGTGGAACTATAGAAAGATGCAAGGGAAACCACTGACATATGCATACAAGGGCTAGAGAAAAAGAAAGAGCTTTGACCTGACAGTGACAAAAGTTACAGTTTACAATAACTGTAAGAAACTAACAGTTGACAGGTGTCATAATCTAACTCATCATAAATCAAGCTCCTGGCAACACTGGCTTCTTAAATATGAATACAATTTTTGAAATACACATGAGTAAAGCTCATGGCAAAAGTGACTCTGTGAACTGTGAGCATATTTCGTAGCAGTCTGCCAGGCCAATTCATTGTGGAGTTGTTTTGTTGTTTTTCTTTTAAACTTTAAATTTATTTTCATGGTTTAAATTCTTACATTGGATGAACTCTTAAATTACAACTCTTAAATTTTAAGATAACCCCCAGCAGATATCTGGTAGAGACCAAATGTAAAATATTTTAAACTCACTTGTAGACCTTTTCTCCCAGGATTCTTCTGCTGCCTTTGATTGCCTGAGGTAACGGTGCTTCAGATCCAATCTTGCTTAGCTCCTCCTCACTTTTCAACTTGTCCCCTGACACTATTGTCTCCCTTTGGCTGCCATCACCAACAATAGTCACCTGATTGTAAAAGTAGATACACTTCAATAAAATGCATATACCTTCTCTCTTTTTTTTTTTCCTATAGATATTTAACACAATGATCCTTCTCTGATGCTTTTACATATCATATTGGTTCAGCTGCAATATTTAGAATATTGTACATGCAAATAAAGCTAGTTAATTACTTTATTGTAATCTCATCCCTGTGTTGATAAACACACAAAGAAGGTATTTAATTTTAGATTTTTAAATTTCATTAAAAGCTGAAACATAATGACACTTTATCATGTGATGAAAAAAATATTCTAGCTTCAATTTTTGAATATTTTACATTTAACCGCTGTTAAATAAAGTATTATCAACAACATGTTGGGTGCTCATTACCCAGCAATGAACATGGTTATTGTGTGTCGTACCTCATTGTTAAATGTAATCAAGGCCACACGCCTGTTGGGATGGTTTTTGGCCATCTCACCCAGCTGGTGGTCAACTGCTGCCTGCATTGCCTGAAGTCGAGAGATGTAAGTCACGGACTGGCCTCGCTGTGATGGCAGGCGCTGGTCTACCTCATCATTCTCAACAAAACTTTGAAGTCTTTTCAGCTGGCTGGTGCCTCGCAACTTGATGGTACCCGAAATCTGATATTATAAAAAAAATTAGCAAATAAATAATGGAACAAGACATGTTTAGGCTTGAAAAGAAAAGACCGGACTATTAAAGTGATGTTTCGGCTCTGTTGTTTCTTGTTTTATATTATCTGCTGGAGAGGCATCTATATATTGAAAACTTGAAAGATGCCACAAAACCAAAATGTGTCAAAAAGAAGACTTTTTGCCGTGACGAAAAAACAAATGTTGAAAATTTAAATAAACTTAGCTCATAAGAAAAGGTTGATGTTACTTGGACAAGATGAAACTATGAACTGATAATAAAGTAAGACATAAGATTAAGGACATATCTTTTAAGGTAAATGAGCAACAGTCATCAAAACATGAGCTCTGTAATTACCTCAGCAGTTACACACATGCAAACTATTGGCTCTATAATTGCCTCAGTAGTTACACATGCAAACTATGAGCTCTCCAATTACCTCAGTAGTCACACACATGCTGCCAGAGGTATCCACACAAAAAATCACTAGTGACTGGTCCAGCCCTGACATGGTGCTAGTGGCTGTCGTCATGGCTGGCTCTATCAAGTAGGTCACATCTTCTGAGGTGGGAATCTCTTCCAGGTCAATGTCCACGGAAATGAGCTCATCGCAAAACTCACACGGCCATTCCTGAGTGCAACACAGAAAACAAATAAAGTTTGTTTACAAATACTCTATTTCTAATAAAACAATGCACTTACAATAATATAATTTGTTTTATACTGTGCAACAAAAAAACAAATTGAAGTAGTTTAAGTAAACCATAAATTCGTGTTTTAATTTTCATAGGAGATAAGATTATTTTCTAAATCATCTTTAAAAGATAATCTTTACATTTAATTTTCAACGAATTCTGGCCCCAATTTTCCTTTCATACCAGAACAATATATGACCACAAAAAAAAAACAACTCAACAATATTAAATTTTTTTTTAATAAGTTAAAGAACTAAATGACAAAATAATGTAACATGTCTTGGAAGTTTGAATTTTTCAACTGAGAGGGATCTTTATAGTTCTTCAATCTTTTAGGAGCATGAAGAAGTTCAATTTCCTGTGATTAATTTCAGTTCTCCATAGTGTGAGAATTTTTTAATGAAATATTTGTTGATAATACTAATTTCAATTAATAAAAGTTTTCAAAATATACACCTATGATTCATTTCTTCTTACCTTCTTCTCTAAGACAACTCTGCTGATGTGGGATAATATTGCAGAGCATTTGGTACACACAACAGGCTCACCAGCATGCATGTTGCCAGGCGCTAGCAATGTGCTGAAGTTGACAGACACCACGTTAGTGTCGGCTCTTCGGAATCTACGCTTAGAAGGAATCTTGGCTGTAATAAGACATGCCAAGATGGCTAATGATATAGTGACCATATATATTAGCTACAATGTAAAGGACAATACATTCATTGGCTAGTTAGAATTATTCACTGGAACTCCCTCATTTCAGTAGCTTTTATTGTTCTTTTGCAGGAAAAAAAAAGAGGGGGAGGGGTTAGTTACAATGCACAATAGAAGGGATTGAAAATATGTATAATAGAAAAAAAGGTGCATATGACCTGAAAATACCTTCACATATTGCAGTACTTTCCTTTACATCGTTCCCATCAGCTTCATCGTTTGATTGCCTTTTGTGCCTCCAGTGATGTCGATTCTTAAGAAACTTTTTCTTCTTTGGACTGGAATGACCTGAAAATTAATTTAAAACTTAGAAACAATTTTAGACAGCCAATACACTCCCCCACTCTCCCTAACCCCCCCCCCCCCCAACTAAATAGGCAACCTCATACAAATTATAATATAAATTGACTCAAGTCCTTTGATGGACTGGAATGACCTGAAAATTAATTTAAAACTTAGAAACAATTTTAGCCAGCCAATACACTCCCCCACTCTCCCTAACCACCCCCCCCCCCAACTAAATAGGCAACCTCATACAAATTATAATATAAATTGACTCAAGTCCTTTGTCAGCAAAACAACAAAGCTAACTACAGTCGTCCCTTATTTATCAAGGTTATAAGTTCCAGACTTAATCGAGAAAAGTGAATTTCTAGGAAGTAGGATTCTTTAATTATTATTGAATATTTCCATATTTAGAGAATAGAAAACCTGTGCCCGGCCCTCTAAATACAGTTTTTAAGATGATAAGACCTTCTTGGGGTGCTTGAAGACATAAGCCTACATTCCATATGTACAGTAATTTTAATGGTAATACAGGGGTGTATAATTGACTCAATCCCTATCAAATTTTCAATGAATACGTGTTATATTTGAAAAAAACGTGATACTGTGACTCCGAAGAAAAGCAAAGCACAAAGTGGCAAGGGATGACTGTAAGTGTACAATTGTAATAAATGTGCAAGGGCTATTTAAAATGTCATTAATAAAAAAACTGTTAAAGAATTCATCAATATTTGTCATACACGCATATAAAAAAAAAAAAACAAGTTTTAAATGGCTGCCATTTCCAAATAATAATAATAATATGATGGATATGTGATTAAAAAATGTTATAAAATATAGTGAGTCTGGTTATATTAATATGATAAGTTGAATATACACAACTACTACCAGATCATGAAAGGTCTTTAATTTCATAGTAAAATAGAATAATGTTGTTCACACAAAACAATTATGGAAACAAACCTGGGTTATTACCCTTTGGTCTTCTATCGGCTTCATCATCACCATCTGAGCTTGAAGCAGAATCACTAATCATGAAAAATAAAACATATGCAAATTGATACAATAGCATAAAGCTATAAAATACTTATCCTAATTAATTAATTTCCTTTCATGTGGTATTCATTATAAAAATAAGGTTTGGTTTACCTTACAAAATTTATCTCTAAAAATATGATGTTAGGGCAATATTTAACTGTTGATAAATAATCTGGTAGTTATAATAAATTTTCAACTCTAATAATAATACTCAACTTTATTGGGTATTTTTATTAGCAAGTTAATTAAGAGGGATTGGAGGACATATCATTCAACTTGTCTTTCATTCCTACGCAATTTGTATTTAAAAAAACACATTGTTACAATTCTTATTTAATCAAAGCAAAACAAACAGCATACAAAAATTATTTTTTTTTAACCTTATATGCATTCCCTGTTCAAACTCCTCCTCTGATACACTCTCATATTCCTCTTCATCATTGGCTAAAATGTACTTTGAAGCAAAATCCATTATTGTCAAAATTTCTACACCCTGTAGAAATAGAAATAATAAAAATATATTATAATACAGCCTTACAGCCATACCTTAATGTTAATATAAATTTATTATATGTATAGTCCTTTATTTGAGGGACATGAAAATGTTCTCTTTGTTAAACCATAAGAAACATCATTTAAGGCATAATCCTAGGGATTGGATAATGAAGGCATAAATAATATTATTTATGATAAGCCATTACTAACATTAATATTATATCACATAGATTTAACTATATTTTATACTATAGCATTGGTAATATAAGACTGGGGTCAACTGATGCTAAGCAAAAGTTGTAACTAGAATAATTTTTCAGGAAATGATGTGATTTCTATTAAAAGATGATTTCCGCTTGGAATGAAATATGAGATCACTTTCTTATTTCAGGTGTACACTAAGCTATAGGTATCAATTTAACAAGGCAGCATAAGTGCAGATTCCGTTATCATGTAGTTTTTTTACACCAGGTCTGGGTATTTTGATAAAATACATGGTGGATCAAAGTGTTACAAAAGCAGTCTCACAAACAGTCTCACAGACAGTCCTACACCATACCCATGGCTCTTTATTGATTAATATAATAGTCACCTTGGCCTGAAGAAGAAAATTAAACCTTTTTACCCGAGTTCAATTGTAACGCATGACGCTTGTGCGTGACAGATTTTTTTTTTTTTTGGTCAGCACTATTAATATAAAACTTGTTGAGTAGGGGAGGGCCAGTTGTGAAAAGAAAGCAGGACATGTCCTGAGCAAAATATATATAAAAGATCATGAATAACATTTTGAAAGGACATAAGGACCATTTGGATTTTACATTACGGAGAACTCTTTTGTCTTTGAGTAAACACAAATATGCTCTTCCGAAATTTGTGGAAACTCTACCCCCAACCCCCACCCCCCCCCCCACACACCTTTTTTTAATATGACGTCGTTTATGGATGCCCCAAAGAGCAAGGTGAGAATCCCAGATATGTAAAGTATTTATTTTATGACAGATGTCCAGGTGTAAGTAAAAAAAGAGCCAATGAAAGGGGGCCCTTGTGGTATTGTGAGACGAGCAGTGTAGCCCTCTAAGCCCTTTAAGTATGCATATTTTGGCTAAAAAATAATTAAGGACTTTGTGTTAGTGTGACATTCAAACCTAAGAACTAAGACAAAACGTAAACCCTTAAAACCATGTGTTCCTGTGCTACAGTTACACACTGTACTGAGAAGAAAAGATTAAAATAATTTAAAAATAATGAAAACCCAACTTACAGTTTTTGATTGATGAGTTTTTATAATTTATATTTCATAGCATAATTAATTATAATATTTCAAAATGAATGTTGACTTTTTTAAAATATATTTGGATTTTATTTTTGTTGGAACATGTAATAAAGTTTATAAAAGTGTATTCAATGAATCATTAAGTTGAGTTTTCTTTATTTAAAAAATGTTTTTGATTGATTTTCTTCATTTTTACACTTTTCTCACCAGGGTGTAACTGTAGCACACATGTTTTTAGTTGAGGGAAGGGAGTGACCGCAGATCATAGACACTTTAAGTCGCATATCTAGAGGGATACAATAAAGTTGCTATGTTGGCCAAGAAATGAATGTACCAGCTGAAACTACATCAGGAAAGGGAGTAACCACAGGAATAAAGTTCCTACGTTCACCACAGAAAAAATTAATTGCTTATTTCTTTTCGTTTAAATTTAAACCATTCTCTAAAATTTTGTTATCATACAGTAACACACTGTCTCCCTTTTCCCTCACCATTTTTTCAGCTGTGTTGTGTACTACATTTTTTACATGTCTGTTGCCATGGCCAGAAAGATGGCAGCCATTTCAAAAGCTAAACTGTTAGTGTTAGTCAAAATAAGCAACATGACAGAGCTGCAGGCATTGGCATAGCCCAAGTAAGGTTGTGGCAATATTCAATTATAAATTTAATAATATTATTATTAACAAATATTTGGTCTAAATCTGCTTTCTTAATTAAGACATTAAATTTTAAATTAAGTACTTGACTTTAAATTAAGACCCATTCATTAAGTTAATGAATTACTATATTTAACTAAGTCTAAGTGACAATGACAAGTCTAAAATTACTAATTAAGTTTTAAGTTAAGACTTAGGACTAAGACCAAGATAAGACTAAGAGTCACTAACCCCCAGTTTAACTTGACCTTAAATTATGCTTGAATTAAAATTTAATAGGCCAAACTAGACTACACAACGAGAACTATGTCAACGCCTACAGACCAGGCCCACACTGTCACTGGGCAATCCTCCGAAGTCCGGTCCCAAATTATTTCCAATGATTATTCCTTACTTAAAAGTCTTAAGTATCATATTGTTTTGAAATTCATTTTTGCGTATATATTTCAATAAATTTGTTAAATGATGGCAAATTATGTTAAGGTCGAGCGCATTATCACTAATCATATTTTACCAGGTACAACTATCATCACAGAAGCTTGGCGAGGATATCAAAATGTCGCTTAGCTCAACAACTTTTTTATTTGATCACGCTGTCATGTGCACATGCGTAAATTTGTTTTTGTTGATCCAATAGACCAGGACATTCACACAGAAACTGTTGAAGGACTTTGGATGCATGCAAAATGTAAAACTCTTCTATCAGAGTGGTACTAGTCGCAGTCTGTTTCCCAGCTACTTGGGGGCCTTTGAGTGGCGCAACAGTGGCAACAGTCACATTCAGAACGTTTTATGCTGCAATATGCAAATGATATGCGCCAAATACAATATTTAGTATTTACTGAATGATTTGTAAAGTGACACTTATTTTCAAAAGCTATGACTGACATTTCTGCTGTTTTCTAACAATAAACACTGTGCCTTGCAATTTTTTTCATTCAAAATAATTTGGGACCTGACTTCGGAGGATAGCCCTGTCACTGTCACGCCGTGACTGTCACTCAGTCGAGTCACCGTCAGTACACTGAATTAAGTTTTATTTAATCAAAAGAAAATTTTATTGAACACATATAATTATAGTTATATTATTATATGACCTAGTTTTAGTGGGCTTAATTTTTTACAAATAATTACTTTTATGTCTGTTATTCACAATCTTTTACTATCCATTGCATTGGTGTTTTGATGTTGATGTTTACGTCTTTTTTTCTACCCGGAAGTAAACGAAATACTTCACCGCTATTCGTGTGGTGTTATTTTTTTTATTTCACTAAGATACTATCTGGAGGTAATTTGTTGTTTTTTTTTCATTTATTTTTTTTTAATCGTTTTAATAATTATAGTTGAATTGTTTTCTTTAGTATTTTGCCGTTCCGATAGACTTAAGTATTACGTTGATATAAATTAACTAATTGACTTTATAATATTTTAATCTTACTTTTAGTGCATTTATTTTTCACAATTGAAATTGCACATGATATGAATCAATATGGTAATGATGAGTATGAGGACAACCAATTAATAATAAAGCTAGTAATTTTGAAATTGTTCCATTACTTTTTATTATAAATTTACGTTCAACTGATAAAGGTATGTTTAATTTAAAATAAAGTAAAATAATTATTAGTTTTTTTTTTTTTTTTACTTAATTATTAATAATTATTTGCCTTTAAATTTTCTTTTAATTCATTTATTTTGACTGTAAGTTGATATTTTATCATTGTTGATGATACAATTTTGATTGAATTTGTTTAAAATTTAAATAAACACTTTGATTTATAAATAATTTTGAAATTTTTCCATTTCTTTTTATTATAAATTTAAGTTAAACTGATAAAGGTATGTTTAATTTAAAATAAAGTAAAATAATTATTAGTTTTTTTTTTTTTTTTTACTTAATTATTAATAATTATTTGCCTTTAAATTATCATTTAATTCATTTACTTTGACTGAAAGTTGAGATTTTATCATTGATGACGATACAATTGTGAATGAATTTGTTTAAAATTTAAATACACACTTTGATTTATAAATACCTAATTAAATTAGTAGTCACTAGCTAGATGTTAGTTGGTAAATAAAGGTACCATTCCTTTTTTTTAATCACTAAAATTAATCACGAATTAATCCCTTTGCACTGACGTAGTTGTATAGGGTTTTGTCAACATTTAGGCAAGGCTAACTAAGCAATTGTTTAAATAATTATTAAAGGCTTGAACTATATGTTTAGAATGACACCTGTAAGTCAATAGGGGCCATGAACATTATATTTCACTAAAAATGAACTTTTTGACCCACCATATCCTCTTATATCGTTTAATAACTTTTCCATTGACCACCCCCTAATATCATATAACCTTTCTAGCACCCCTCCCCTAATTATTGGAAGCTAAAGCAAGAAAAAAATGCATTAACGTTTTTAATACTCTAGGTAAATGTCTTAAATTTGAAAAGAAGAAATTTTTGCAAAAATGATAATTAAATTCTTATATAAAGTGTTTATGGGGCTGGTGCCGGCTGTCTCAACTTTTGGCTTCTCTTGCACTACGAAAGTGTGCTAAGATTCTGACCAGCCATCTGGAGTGCACAGACAGGAACAGTTGAGGCGACAACACTAGACTCATTTGTGTCTATTGCCTCAAGCCTTCAAACCCCCAGTGCATGATTCCCTCACAAAGTGGCACTGGAAATCTTTGAAATGTCCTCATCAACATCAGGCAGAGAAACATTGCAAATCCCCTCTACATGCATAGGAGCAAAAATGATCATAAATTGATTGTGGGCCCTTAATATATAGAAGAAGAAGAAGAAATAAATCTTATATTGTTAAAAGCCTACAAATTATATGTCTATTTATACCCCCTTTTCAACAATTGCCAAGCATTTCCAACCCCCCTCGCCCCTATTTTGTTGAAATAATTAATGAACGCCCCCTGATCATTTATTTTGATTTTTACCTATTTACTTATCATTGGTTTAATTTCATTAAGTAAGTATAATTTATTTTGACACTTTTCTCTGGGTTTATTTTAAATGTAAACTGTGAAAAATCTGGTCACAAAAATACAATATATGCCGGATAAGACCACTTTTGATAAACAATGTTTTGTGGTCACTGGTGACTGTTGCAGGGCCTTCAGTCAGTATCCGTGAATCTCTGAACTGTTATATTTTAGGTCATTGTTGACATTTTTTCTTTTGAATTTCTGGACGCTAACTAAAGGTAATATTGTAAATTTCAGCTCATATATTTAATAATTATTACAGTTTCTGCCACAACAAGAATACAGCACACTCCGTAAGCGTAAATACTAACTAAAAAGGTCTGGCACCTCTTTTCACCGCAAAGTAAGTCTTATCTAACTAGTCTACAGTCTACATATTGATTTTTTATTGGACATAGACTATACTATACTATTATTCATTATATTTATGTAACTATGTCATAGTGAAGTGACATATAATAAAAGTACAAGTTTAAAGCATATCAAGTAAAGTTATTTACGTATTAGTTAGACTTTGAAACTTAGTAGAGTGAACTAAGCCGTGCCGTAACTGACTTAGACTTAGACTATTAGTAGATTTTTTTTTCAAGTACAAGTATACGATTAAGATAATAAGATAACTTATTATTATTGTTAATAAATTAATAGCATAAATAGGTTCTATTATTTACTATTTGGCATATTAACTGTAACTTGTAACATTCTCAGAAATTATTTCAATTTCAGATTTACATACTTCATGATTCATACATGCCAACCTATGCCTATGCATATATAGTATAGGGCTTACTTTATATATGGATTTTAATTTAAGTGAGTTTTTTTTTTGAGTTTTTCAACTTTACAGTTTTTCCACTGGATTCAGAAAAGAAGTACTTTTGCACACAACAGTGATAACACACAATTGAATATCTTAAATGGCAGTGCAATAAATTTTTCTGAGATTGATAGGCTATCTAAATTTAGAAAATAAGCACAGTTTCATTGAGACCATTCTTTAATAGTATTAATAGAGTGTTGTTTGGTTGAGACTACTTTGAATATTATACTTATACCATGATTACAAATCAGTTTGTGTAATTCTTATTATAAATTTCAATAAACACTTTATATCCACATATAAAAGTTATTATTTTCCCCTGTTGTATGGTGAAAAATACGGCTATAAATTGACTGAAATTAATAATGTTGTCGAGACTGTGGAAATGTATTTTCCTTCATTGATGTAAAACAGTAACCTGTATTACTACAGCTGGTATAATTAAATGAAGAATATGTATAATTACATCTAAATTTTGCTATCAAATTCATCATCTATGTCAATTGATAACAAAATTGCCATTGACAGTGTAAAAAAAATTAAAATGAAATGCAAAAACTGACAAAAATCGAACTTAAAAAGAGCTATTTTGTTTAAAAGATGTAACCTATTTGAATGTAAACGTGCTAAAATGTGCGCACTGCAAAGGGGAGATTAGACCTGTCAAGAAGACAATGTTGGCATGCATTCAAAACATTGATAATTAAATGATGAAAATTTTATAAGTTATACTTTTTTGTTTCTCTTGAGCTTTTCCCATTTTTCTGTATGGGTATTCATGCTGTTGCACAGTTTTTGTAGGACTTTGTTACAGTTTTTCATTCGAACATGTTGGCATGTATGGACAGTTTTACTCTTGACAAAATGGTTACATTCTATGCAAATTAAATTGTGTTTAAAGACATGAAACTGATCATTTGCAGCGTGCTCCTGTGGACACAATCAGTGTGATAAGTAGGATATGATTTTAACAATAACATTTATATTGTCAATGGTATAGGAATAAGGACAAAAATAAGGATGATCTCAATTGATTTGAAAGCACGTTTAAAAAAAGATTTTTGAAAGAGTTTTGACATGCTTAATACAGAACTGCATGATGAGATTCCAGTTATAATACTTATTTAATTACAGGGGCTACCACATTTAATAAATGATTTTCAAATCATTAAAATTTGTTTCATTGAGTCATGAGTTTAACATTCTAATATCATGTTTAAGGTCACACTTGCCTCTGTTCAGTAAACCACAAGATTTTGCTTGTGCACTGAAAAACATTCATACATGAATCTGTAAAAACTGACAATTGTTGACATAATTTCTACCAGTAGAAAAATTGTTGTATTAAAAGAACATTTGGGACCCATCTTCCTTCTTCCCAACCCCCAAGACTATTAGTTAATTGCCTTTATTAAGTTTGATTGGCCACACTTTTACTCCTTTTTTTTATCTTGAAAAATCTACTATAGGACAGAGTAAATGAGTTACACTTTTTTTTATATTTAAGTTGCATTTCATTTATTGAAGTTTACCCTTTTATACAACCATCATGGATTGTAGCCAATACAATGCTACGAGTTGTAGGAGGCCAAGTTGGAGGTTTAAAAATACAAATCTTTGCTTTGAAATTCTGATAGATATATTTAACTTATATGCTTATTATGTTTGTTCATGGGAGAAATAAACTAACAACACAATTTTAAATAATAAGAATGTATTTTTGATTTAAAAAATGAGACTTTTCCATTCTCATGCTGTTGCATGTGAGTGGGATCTCATGGGCTTGCTATAATAAGTTCTTGATCCTAATAATACTATGAACCTATAATATCTTCATCCAGATGTTGTCATAGACTATTTCCTTTATCATATTATGTTTTCAATGTGTGTTCTTTATTTACATGTTGTAGAAAACGTTACTCTTCAGGTCTGAAACGACCCTGTCATATTTTCCCCTTTTTTTTCAGAACCATTGAATCTGATTTAGTTTTTTCCTTCATAAGCTCCATGTGTTCGCACTTCATTTTTTTATGGTCCGAAGTTCAGCTATCAGGTGAAATTATATCAAAGTCACACCACTGAACTTTGTGTCTATTCCAGACACTTCAACATCATAGATTATGGGGGCACCTATTGCCCTATAATAATAATCATAACTGCATTTCGAAAACAGAGATATAAGTTTGAAATATAAAAACAAAAAACCAGTTAAACAATAATTTAAAACAAAACTCAAGTAGGTCTTACGAAATCGTGTAGTAGTATTATAAAAAGAATAAAACATATGAGATTTAATTGTACAAATTTAAATTAACTTTCCGTTAAGTTGTGACAGACATCATCTTTGTATGCAACCATTTCTCAGAAATTCAAAAGTGTGGTGCGGGTTAAAGGATCTCAGTTGGTTATAATTAATGGGGGATTTACAAACAAACACCCACCCACTAAATGAGTCAATAAAAAAAAAAATTGGGAATGTATGACCACCCAGTCTATACATACTTTTTTTTAAAATAAACAAATAATGTTGGGAAACTTTTGTTGTTATCTGTGATAGACTAGCTGTTAATTTTAAGAAAAAGATCATGTTAAACAATTTTTGTGGAAGAATTTTTGTAGAAAATGGCCATTCAAACCTTTTGTTATTTTCAGAAATAACAAATATGGACAATTCTCTTTTTAACCATTTTCTTCTTCTTTTAAATTAGTTGGTCTGGAAGAAGAATTCGGGCAAGGTTGTGAGGTCCAAAGTCCAACAGTTTAAAAAAAAAAAACACAAACCATAAACCTCTTATACAAGGGAAATCTAGGGCAAAGTATGTGAACTTTCGCACTGTGCACAGGTAGGGGGATAAAAGGGACGAGTTTAGTCCAACTGTTGCAGTTGACGGCACGTGACAGTAGTGTATCAGAGAGACAAGTGCATGTCATTGTTGTTTTAAAAACAGCTAGTGGTTCAAAGAGGATAAACAATCTTCAGTAGAAGTAGAGTAGTGAAGTAGAGCTGACGTTTACAGGTGATGGAGACCATTATAGTTACTTCTTTCTTTCTTTATTTTTAATATGCATTCTCTCATATTTTTTTAATAAATTTATATGATGGCACATTTATTATGTTTTTTTTTTTTTTTTTTTTTTTTTTTAAAAGGGGCTCTTTTAGGCCAATGTTCTTTAAATTTTTTTTTTTTTTTTTTTTTTTTTATTGTGTTTAAAAGAGGCTCATTTAGGCCAATGTGCATTAAATCAATTGGTGCTTGAACTTACAGTGAATGGAAACGCTGAAACGCTGGGGGCGAGCTAGTGGCTTGGTTGTTGGACAAATATTTCTCAGGCCTGCGCGTAGCAGTAGTGCTATGTTTACCAGAGATGGGAATCGAACCTTCTTTAAGAAGTTTATTAAGATTGATATATATAAAGTTCAATTGGGTCGTCAGCATGGTTCTATTCGGTAACAACTCAACCTTTCGTTGGGTTTGCAATGTTTTGGCAGCATGAAATTACACCGGGGATTACACCCCCCCCCCCACACACATTTCCTATGCCACGGGTTGTGGGATCATCATACTATTCATACTACTGTGGTGTTTTGTCCCGTCTCAACCCATGCATAAATAGGCCTACAGGTTTATAATTTTCGTTTTAGAACGAGTTTCTGGCACTGGATAAAACAGAGTAGGCCACATGGTGTTGTTTAATGTGTCGCACATTCATACAAAATCAAGCCTGTGTGAGAAATGATGTTGGTGCGGGGGGGGGGGGGATTGGGGTGGGGGGGGGGGGGGCAAAGTTTTTGTGGGGGGGGCACATTGACAAATGTATTGGGGTGCCGCACGTAGGCCTATAATATGTTCAATTTTTACATGTCGATAAACATTTCTCTATATTAAAATTGTTAAATTCGCATTTTAGCATTGCATGAAAAATGACTGTTTAAAAAAATTGGAAAGAAATTTGATAAAAAATGTTCAAACAATCATAACAGTACGTGAAATTCTTTAAAATTCAACCAAATAACTTAAAACAAAGTAGTTTTTACAATTTCTAAATGCCTTCAATGGCCTCAAAATATCAGTTGCCGGGCCATAGTTTGCCCACCGCTGGGGTAGGGCGTGTTTTAAAAAAAATAAGATTATTTTGCTTTAGAAAAATCGCGAAACGATCAGAATTTCTGTGTTCTGACGTAAGTAGTGATGTGCCACATTACGTAATTAGTGATGTGCCGCATTACGTAAGTAGTGATGTGCCACATTATGTAATTAGTGATGTGCTGCATTACGTAAGTAGTGATGTGCCACATTATGTAAGTAGTGATGTGCCACATAACTAATTAGTGTTGTGCCACATTATGTAAGTAGTGGTGTGCCACATGACGTAAGTGGTGATGTGCCACATGACGTAAGTAGTGATGTGCCACATGACGTAAGTAGTGATGTGCCACATGACGTAGGTAGTGATGTGCCCCATTCTTGAAACAGTGTCGATGTGTTGTTGTTGAATAACTGAAGGGAATGCAGACAAAATATGAAATTGGTCACATTTTAATGGGGGGGGGGTAGAGTTTTTGAACTTGATTATCTCGGAATATGTAATTATTTTTATTTTTTTACTTTAAGTACTTTTAGCACTAACATATTCGAACTTTCTACTCGGGAGGGGGGGGATGTCCAGATATCAAGAATAGGGGGTAGAGTTTTTGAACTTGATTATCTCGGAATATGTAATTATTTTTATTTTTTTACTTTAAGTACTTTTAGCACTAACATATTCGAACTTTCTACGCGGGAGGGGGGGGGTGTCCAGATATCAAGAATGTTCAATGTCCCGACATTTGTTGAAGCGTGAAGTGAAGACTAAAATGGCCCCTGAACGTATAGCTTCAAGAATTCATCATTATTATTGTGTATGTGTGCAGTGTCTCTAATGCACACTACATGCTATTGGGCCGCAACTGAGTATGTGTCATTAATGATGATTGATTTTTTGTTCCTTGTAACATACATGTATTTCCATTTGTTATGTAAATCGCCCTGCAGACCATTTCGAAAGAGTCTCGGGAGCCCGTTTCTTTGCGACTCCTGGAGTGGACTGCCAGTCATGGGTGGGAGCGCTCGATTTTTGAATGCTCATTGCACTTGTGTGTGTTTTTTTGTTTTTCATTATGTTCAACTGGTCCGTTTCAAAAGTCGCTCCATTATATGGTGTCTATATTCTATAGGGAGGTGCGCTTTGAAATTAAATATTAATACACCAAATAACCCCTCCGGGTGTCTGCTCACCTGGAAATATATCTTACCGTGACCTGGCCGTGCTTACTTTGACGTGTCTCTTACCGTGACCTGGCCGCGCATACTTTGATGTGTCTCTTACCGTGACCTGGCCGCGCTTACTTTGATGTGTCTCTTACCGTGACCTGGCCGTGCTTACTTTGATGTGTCTCTTACCGTGACCTGGCCGTGCTTACTTTGATGTGTCTCTTACCGTGACCTGGCCGTGCTTACTTTGATGTGTCTCTTACCGTGACCTGGCCGTGCTTACTTTGATGTGTCTCTTACCGTGACCTGGCCGTGCTTACTTTGATGTGTCTCTTACCGTGACCTGGCCGTGCTTACTTTGATGTGTCTCTTACCGTGACCTGGCCGTGCTTACTTTGATGTGTCTCTTACCGTGACCTGGCCGTGCTTACTTTGATGTGTCTCTTACCGTGACCTGGCCGTGCTTACTTTGATGTGTCTCTTACCGTGACCTGGCCGTGCTTACTTTGATGTGTCTCTTACCGTGACCTGGCCGTGCTTACTTTGATGTGTCTCTTACCGTGACCTGGCCGTGCTTACTTTGATGTGTCTCTTACCGTGACCTGGTCGTGCTTACTTTGATGTGTCTTAAACCGTGACCTGGCCGTGCTTACTTTGATGTGTCTCTTACCGTGACCTGGCCGTGCTTACTTTGATGTATCTCTTACCGTGACGTGGCCGTGCTTACTTTCACGTGTCTCTTACCGTGACCTGGCCCTGCCTACTTTGGCGTGTCTCGTACTGTCACCTGGCCCTGCTTACTTTGGCGTGACTCTTACTGTCACCTGGCCGCGCTTACATTGACGTGACTCTCACTGTCACCTCGTGATGCTTACTTCGACAATTTTCTCACTTCTTACTGTAGGACTCAATTGACCCATACATTGGTTTTTAATTGGGATAACCAGGACGCCACCCCCCACCCCCACCCCCTACTCTGACAGTGGGCCTCACCTTTCTTGTACGTCGATGGGCGGTGGATTCCACTCTAAAAAATACCAATAGTTCATATGTAATTGAGACCTGACACTCATTATTGTTAGAAAATACGAGCAAGCTGTGCACAATGGGACCGCGAGACGGTTACTTTGTTGGTTAAAGAGGATAAGTTTGGTTATCTTAGCGGAACAAATGTCAATTCAGTGTTTACCAACAGCGGGTGACCCTTGTCGACTGCTTTTTTTTTTTTTCTTTTTTTTTTTGCCATTGAGCGGCCAATTATTTTTTATTTTTTTTTTTTAATTTCTAACGGTACAACATTTTAATTATTATGTAGAGTAGTTGTTTATTTATTTTATACCAACAGCGGGTGACCCTTGTCGACTGCTTTTTTTTTTTTTCTTTTTTTTTTTGCCATTGAGCGGCCAATTATTTTTTATTTTTTATTTTTAATTTCTAACGGTACAACATTTTAATTATTATGTAGAGTAGTTGTTTATTTATTTTAATTTTTAAACTTATCATTGTGAAAACGGGCCGACGTTTATAGTACAGAAGCAGAACTGTGATTTGTTTACTTATATTTGATTTTATAAAAAGAGCCGCATTGCGTATTTAAAAGGTGAATCTAGATACACTTGTGTTTGTTTATGTAGTGTTGTATACTGATCCCTATAGAGTTTTTTTTTTGTTTGTTTATGTAAAGTTGTAGAATGATCCCTATAGACTTTTTTGTGTGTTTGTTTGTGTAAAGTTGTATAATGATCCCTATAGACTTTTTTTTGTGTTTGTTTGTGTAAAGTTGTATAATGATCCCTATAGCGTTGTTCTTTGTTAACGTAGAGTTGTATGCTGATCCCGTTCACAGCTATGGCTGCGCAAATAAGACATGTTTCCAACAAACCCCGTCTCATCTACTCATTAGCATTTCAAATAGGTTGGCATCTATTTACATTGGGCGCTACTTTTAGTCTTAATGTAACCGTGCGCCGCTCCGTCTAAATAGTCCGTTAAATGATCTCTTTTTGGAGAGAGAAACACGTTTTGAAAGCGGCTGGGGGCCCGGGTCGAAACACATGACCTCGAAGGACGTTAGACGGCGATTGTCCCTTTTCGTTTCAATGGAGTCCACTTACTTTTTAACCCGTCCACACCATGTACTCTTCAACCTGTCAGCTGTTCAACCCGTCGATGCCGTCAGCCACACAGCACAAACTCCTGCTTGCATCTCACACGTACATAAATGTTCCTTGTGTCAACTCCTGCTCGCATCTCATACTTACATAAATTTTCCTTGTGTCAACTCCTGCTCGCATCTCACACGTACATAAATGTTCCTTGTGTCAACTCCTGCTCGCATCTCACACGTACATAAATTTTCCTTGTGTCAACTCCTGCTCGCATCTCACACGTACATAAATTTTCCTTGTGTCAACTCCTGCTCGCATCTCACACGTACATAAATTTTCCTGGTGTCAACTCCTGCTCGCATCTCATACTTACATACATTTTCCTTGTGTCAACTCCTGCTCGCATCTCATACGTACATACATTTTCCTTGTGACAACTCCTGCTCGCATCTCACACGTACATAAATGTTCCTTGTGACAACTCCTGCTCGCATCTCACACGTACATAAATGTTCATTGTGACAACTCCTGCTCGCATCTCACACGTACATAAATGTTCCTTGTGTCGCGGTGCTCTGGCTCCACGTCGAAGACTTTTTATTTTTGTCCTTGATGGCGCCTTAGCGTAAAGTTCGTTATCTTTGTAGAGGGATGTCTAAGATGTAGACACAACAATGACGCCATGCCTGAGGTGTCGTCACGTCAATGACCACACTACTGCTAGGTTCCGTTTGAAAGGTGTTGATTTAGGCTACTCGTACCAGGTATTGATACCTTTTTAATCTGAAAGTCACGGACCGGCAGGAATATAAAGAGAGAGGGAGGGGGGTCGTGAGACATTGTATATAACGAATCTTGAAACGGCGCTGTCCCTAGCATGTGCGCTAAATCGCCCCGAAATGGAATGAGGGAGGGCATAGAAGGAAATCAATAGCCACGCCAAAGTGGGACCAGGGGATGAGGCCCTCGCCCGAAAAAAAAATTGGATACACGGATTCATTTTGGCGCATACCTGAATTGTTTGTTTTGCCTCTATGTAAACTTAAAATAAGAGCAATAGATAAATGCTATGAGTCTATTGTTTGTTTTGCCTCTATGTAAACTTAAAATAAGAGCAATAGATAAATGCTATGAGTCTATTTTTTGTTTTGCCTCTATGTAAACTTAAAATAAGAGCAATAGATAAATGCTATGAGTCTATTGTTTGTTTTGCCTCTATGTAAACTTAAAATAAGAGCAATAGATAAATGCTATGAGTCTATTTTTTGTTTTGCCTCTATGTAAACTTAAAATAAGAGCAATAGATAAATGCTATGAGTCTATTGTTTGTTTTGCCTCTATGTAAACTTAAAATAAGAGCAATAGATAAATGCTATGAGTCTATTGTTTGTTTTGCCTCTATGTAAACTTAAAATAAGAGCAATAGATAAATGTTATGAGTCTATTTTTTGTTTTGCCTCTATGTAAACTTAAAATAAGAGCAATAGATAAATGCTATGAGTCTATTTTTTGTTTTGCCTCTATGTAAACTTAAAATAAGAGCAATAGATAAATGCTATGAGTCTATTGTTTGTTTTGCCTCTATGTAAACTTAAAATAAGAGCAATAGATAAATGCTATGAGTCTATTTTTTGTTTTGCCTCTATGTAAACTTAAAATAAGAGCAATAGATAAATGCTATGAGTCTATTGTTTGTTTTGCCTCTATGTAAACTTAAAATAAGAGCAATAGATAAATGCTATGAGTCTATTTTTTGTTTTGCCTCTATGTAAACTTAAAATAAGAGCAATAGATAAATGCTATGAGTCTATTGTTTGTTTTGCCTCTATGTAAACTTAAAATAAGAGCAATAGATAAATGCTATGAGTCTATTGTTTGTTTTGCCTCTATGTAAACTTAAAATAAGAGCAATAGATAAATGCTATGAGTCTATTTTTTGTTTTGCCTCTATGTAAACTTAAAATAAGAGCAATAGATAAATGCTATGAGTCTATTGTTTGTTTTGCCTCTATGTAAACTTAAAATAAGAGCAATAGATAAATGCTATGAGTCTATTTTTTGTTTTGCCTCTATGTAAACTTAAAATAAGAGCAATAGATAAATGCTATGAGTCTATTGTTTGTTTTGCCTCTATGTAAACTTAAAATAAGAGCAATAGATACATGCTATGAGTCTATTTTTTGTTTTTAATGTTACTAAATAGTAATTTATATTACATATTCTTTATATATATATATATAACCACCACTTTGAGTGCGACACACTATTTTATGCAAGCCTTGTGACAGGACTTCAGGAAGCTGTCATCGCCGGTGTTTTATGTGTCACCTTTTTAAACCCGTCGTCGCGCATAACGCTTCCTGCACCTTGTACCCGACTCGGCGACCTTTGGACCCGGCGCGACGCCTCAGTGAAAATAGAATCACGCAGTTTTTTTTGTTTTGTTTTTTTTTCTCCCTCTTTTTTCAAATGACGTCATGGTTTATAGTCCCGTTATCTTAAAAAAAAATGGGGTTGTTTGCAGGTCATGTTATCAAAAATGTGGTTATCACTCTTGACACGGTATCCAAGTTGTGGACGGGTGTCGCCGAGTTTCGCGGGGCTGAACATGTTCAAAGGGAATCTAACTCCAGCAGTGGTTCAGATCGCTCTTTGGTAAGTTCAGGGCTCATTTCACGTGCCCCCACGTCATCCTTCGGAAGTCCGGGAGCGTGCTCCCGCAGCCAAACGAAGATCTGCCCCAGTGATGTTATGGGTGTGCGTGTAAATGTAGTCGTATGTCATTAACTGGGCTTTCTGTGTCAATCATTCAAGGCCAACGCTACCGCATCTTTACATTGTGTGCCGTCTTTCAGAAGTCATGCCTCTTTTAATCCCTACAAGAATAACAGATGCAGGTGCTGGCAAATACCACCGCAGTAAGGGGGCCGGGGGGGGGGAGTTTCCTACAACGTTTAGGGAAGCACGACCGACTTAGACAAGAGTATGGGGCGTGGGGTGGGGTTGTTTACAGGGTTAATATGGTAACCGGAAATTTGATCGAAAGAAATTTCGTCGACGGTAAATTGATCGACGGTAATTTGATCGACCGGAAATTTGGTCGAAACTTTTTTTCAGTTCTCGCGTTAAGATTTTCGTCAAATTTCTTTTTGAACGCACTATACTATATAGTAAAACAAAATAATGCGTTCAAAAAGACATTTGAAGCAAAATGTAAACGTAAAAACGGAAAAAAAGATTCAACCATATTTCCATTCGATCAAATTTCCGGATACGGGTTAATATTCATCTTAAATACTAATTTCCTGATCATTATCCGGAGTACTGTCATGGATAGACAAGTGGAAAATGTGCAGAGGGGGGACAATCTCTCTCTGGGAGCTTCACCTCCCACACATCTCGCTGGATCCCACACACCTCCCTGGATCCCACGCACCTCCCTGGATCCCACGCACCTCCATGGATCCCACACACCTCCCTGGATTCCACATACCTTCCTGGATCCCACATACCTTCCTGGATCCCACACACCTCCCTGGATCCACCACTGGATCATGCTGTGTATCGACCCTCATCTATCCAATGGCAAGTTTAACATATAATTATACCTATCTGCTGCGCTGCACTCTGATTGAACAGCTGTTACAAGAATTTTGGAATGTTAAACATTTTATTAGGTGAACAGCAAAAACAAATTTTACACCAATAGATCACATTACTTCTAAGTGCAGGATATTTTCACCTGTGACGCAAGTGTCAAGTGGTTGGGCCCCCCCCCCCCGTTACAAATTAAATGTTTTAAAAAAATTGTTGACATTTTTCATTAGCCCTAAAGTAATGTACATACATTAGAGAGATGTTTGTCTTGTTATACATTAGAGAGATGTTTGTCTTGTTATACATTAGAGAGATGTTTGTCTTGTTATACATTAGGGAGATGTTTGTCTTGTTATACATTAGGGAGATGTTTGTCTTGTTATACATTAGGGAGATGTTTGTCTTGTTATACATTAGAGAGATGTTTGTCTTGTTATACATTAGGGAGATGTTTGTCTTGTTATACATTAGGGAGATGTTTGTCTTGTTATACATTAGGGAGATGTTTGTCTTGTTATACATTAGGGAGATGTTTGTCTTGTTATACATTAGGGAGATGTTTGTCTTGTTATACATTAGGGAGATGTTTGTCTTCCAAATTTCTTTTCAAGAACCATGTTTTTCGGAGTCATAACTGATTTACATCCAACTGGCCGAGCCACACTCGGGTCGTTAATGAGCCCCATGGGGCTTGCGAAGCCACGATTTGCCGACCACAGGATTAGAGACATATGTTTATCTTGGTTCCTGCTTCAGCTTATTCTGCTTAAGCTGTGTCTCCTCAAAACTCATCTCCTATTACTGCAGACTTCTTTTAGATTTTAACTAAAATTATGATTATTTGCTTGAGACCACCTGTTTATATTTTTTATTGTTATTAATGCATAGATCAATATTTTAAATGCTTCTATGATTGATTTTAAAGTTTTTCTAACAACCGTTTGCTTTCTTTAAAAACCTCGATTACCACTTGTCAGTTAGTGTGTAACTTGAATTTTTTAAATTTTAATTTCCCTTCAAAAGTTTGCAATTAGTCAAACAACTAGTTTCCTTCCTAGGAGAGCAAAATGAAAATCGGTTTGGTCCTCTCATTCCTCAAATTAATTCAAAGCGAAATTCAGATGTGTCTCTGATTACATAATCACTTTTATACATCATCATTGCTGTCATCTGACGATAAATATTGATATCACTTTATGGTCATTTGAAACAAGAAAGACATAACAGGTTCAGTGATGCAAGACAACTACCTACTGCAAATATTTAAAGTGATCCTGTTATTGGCATGGCTTTTTTTTTTTTAAAAACATACATTCAGTAAATAGCAAAATAACAATATCATATTATTAATTGGTAATGGTGTAGCAAAAAACACCTTTAGGCTGTGTCTGTTGATGCTAATTTGGTTTTATATTGGATTACCTTCACTAAGTGAGGTCAGAGACAGCTGGGTACTAAACATATGATCATGTTACTTCTATTTTTTTGTGTACAAAAGTTTTAGCAAATTGAAAATAGTCACGCTTCACATGCCATATTAGTGGCGTCTTATTTCAAAACCTGGCATATTGCAGCTGGTAGCAATCTTAAGCTCACAGTTATGAAATGTTTGCCTGAATGTGAAGTGTTGACATAGCAGTTCCAACTTGACATTGCCAAGTATAGCACAAGTCTATGCTTACCATTGATAGTGCTCAAGTATAGTGTAAGTCTATAATCTTTGTCATGCTTAATTTTGGTATGAGAAGAATATTTGCTGGCCTGTTTTAAAAAGGACTTCATCATCATAAGATGTTTAAGTTAAATGTAAATTGTTATGTGTTTTTATGATACACCAATGCTCTGGTATCATGAAATGAAAGGTTGAGAGGTATTTGTTGCTTTAGTCCGGTGATTAGCAAGTTTATTTAGTTCACCAGCATAGGTCTAGAGTAAGACCTTAAGAATAATTTTTAGGCAGTGGCAATAGATTTAGTTAGAAATAAACATTCGAAGGGTGCCAAATTCAAAAAGAGCATTCCAGCCTCTATTTGGAAAAGGGAAGATTCCCCCCCACCCTTAAAGGAAATAGTCATCACCCAACTTTAAGTAGCGATTTGAATATAGAGCTTGGTATTTGTGTCAAGTCTTTTATAATTAATTCAAAATTACTTATATTTATGTCATTCTAAATCAGGAGCAGTCCCAGAATGTTTTCTTGTGGCACCCTCGAAAGGACTTACAACTTCTTCTAATTTGATTCAATAATCCATTTCTCGTCTCATTTTTTTTTTTTATTGTTTAAAATCTCAATATTACATTCATAGTACTTAAATTCCTTCAACTCCTGTAATCTCCTCGATAGTCTAAATCACATGATTTTGCTGGTATGCATGTCTTGCTTTTGAACAACTCAACTTCCATCTCTAAATAAGAGCGCTTCCACCTCTAAACTTAAAGCTACATTGAGGTCATCTAACAAATTTATATCAAATGATTTGTTGTTTCTTATGTTGTCCTTTTGATTGTCCTGTCAAACTAAACATCCACTATTTCCTTCACAAGGCTTGAACGCAGTCTCTCAAATGTTATCCTTAATAATCTTATCTAATTATATATTTATTTTATTTTCAGAGAACAAGTGAAATATTGGGACCGACTAAAGGAAACACGTCCAACTTTTTCTACTGATAGTTCTCCACTTGAACCAGCTGTCAGACTTCATGCTGAAACTCTCAGTATTGTGATCTGATCAACCATCCGCCGGTCGTACACGCGGGCAGGTAGCGCAGGGGGCAGTCGTCATGGCAGAAGCCCACTCAGCTGTCGCCTTTTCCTTCACTGTGACCCCAGATGGCTACGATGTCAATATCAACCACGAGGCCCTGTGGGCAGTCTGGGAGAGCGGAGTCATCTCATGGAAGAAAAGGATTGGCAGACTCAAGGTTCGAGAGTTTAAACAACAATTTTTTTTAAATTTATTACAATGACAACTCCGTTTCACTTTACTTTAAAGTTGTTTTGTGTGTGAAGCATAGGTTAACACATTTTGGAAAACCCCTGGGTTTTGAATTGATTTGACCACATCAGCTCATGTTGTAGAAGTATAGTGACTACTAAACCAGGTATTTTTCTGGCAATAAAAAAATGTATCTTTTAAAAATGAAACTGTTTGAAAGACTGAAAGTTGAATGGCAAGTGGTAGTTGCTGCAGAGCTGTCACATGACTTTTGGAGACCCCTAGTGACTTTCCCAATTTCCGTCCTCTTTATTTAAATTTGATAGTTCTTTTATTGTAAACTAGCTAATAAACCAGCGTTGCCCTGGATTGCATTCTTTAAAACAAAAACAACCTTTTTACAGCCTTTTTAGCTAACATCAAATTAAGGAGCTTGAAAAAAAAACATTTTGTCAACATAAAAAATTAAAATTATATATTTCTCCATTAAAATAGTAATCCCGTTCCAAGTTGGTTTCTGTTCCCTGATGGGGAAACCTGTTCCCCAGTGGGATGTCTTTTTCTGTTGTGATCCTATTCTCCAGTGGGCTCCCATTCCCTAAATGGATCCTATTCCCTGGTTGGTTTCTTTTCTCTATTGTGATCCCATTCCCCTGTGGGTTGCAATGCCCTTGGGATCCCATTCTCTGTTGTGATCCCATTCTACACAGACTTAAAAATCTCCAATGAAGGTATAGATATCTCTAAAATTTAAATTCACATAAGCTTTGTCCATATATTATGCCCCAGAACAATATAGAAACTTCTTGAAAATTCTAAAAACATTGAAACAAAATGCCATAACTATAACCATTTATAACCCAATGGGGACCCATTTCATACAGTGTCTTTTTAGTTTTGCCTAAGATGAGTGTCCTATAAATTATTCAGATATATAATGGAGTTAAAATTTAAAATAAGTCCTATTAAAATCAGTTTAAAAATGCAGAAGATTTAATCTTATACATTATTAAACTTTCTGGAAAGTTCTAGACCAGCCCGGAATGGATTTGAAATCCACCAATATTTCAGTATGGACCATTTGAGTACCAGTGATAGCTACCAAGGAAAAAAACAAATTAAGGGCCCTTTGCCCCAAATGGAATATTATGTAAAGTTCTAAAGCCCCCAGTATTTCATTCTGAATTATGATGGATATGTGTGCTCAGGTTTGTCAAGATCTATCTATCCATGTAGAAAGTAGAAACATAGGTGAAACAAACAAACAAATGTTCACTTTGATATACACATTTATGATTTTTTCCCACATCAAAATTTTGGGCCCCTTTTGCAGCCACAGGGTTCGCAAGGCCCACACAAAGGCCCTGGTTGTTATTAGAAATTTTTGTTTTCATTTTTCATGATGCAACATTAAATTCCAAATATATTAATTTTTTAATTTTTTAAAACTATAACAATATTAAAAAGTAATACATTTTATAATTATTATATATAATTAATTATCAAATAAATTCTTATCTAGTAGAATAAATAAATTTTTCAAATAAAAAGTTAATTTTCTTCTTTTTAAGAACAAAGATGTGAGTTTGTTCTTCCCACATTGAATCTACAATCATGATTTATTTCTTCTGGTATTGATTTTAGGGTCATGATTTCTTTACAGCCATAATTCTATTCCATCCCGACTTAACTGTTTATCCTCAGAACAACATCCGCAATGGTGTATTCCCAGCCTCCATGTCATCCTGGCTGTTTGTGGTGACCATAATTCTCGGGATCAAGCTGGCAGGCGCTGACCCTTCCTTTGGTCTCATTGAATGGATCCACCAGCACACACCCGGGTAATATACACTGATGTTAACTTAACTTTTGAACCCTTGGCTACTGATCCTTATATATCCTGATCCCACCCCCCCTTCTGACCGTTAAATTGTGATGCTGGGCGCTGTCCAATGGGTTGACATGTAAAAGTAAATAGTTCTTGTGGGGGGGCGTGAATTTAAAAAAAAATAAATACAATTTATACAGCTTTTTTTTTTATTAAGTGAAGTTATGTAACTTTTTTAATGTCATGATTATGTTTGCTAATATTCTTATGTGAAGCATGTTGAGCCCTGCCCGAGGCTGGAGTACAGCGCTATATAAGACGATTGTAATGATATTAATAATATTATATTCAGGCCCTTGGGTTCCTAGGTAAAATTTACACAAGCATAACAAAATTCATGTGTCTGTGATTGTCCATCACTTTCGGGTCAAGGATTTAATGAAACCAGGACTAGGGACATAGATTTTTTTTACACGTTCATAATGTGAGATCTCAGATTCCAAGGTTAAAGGTTTAGGTTCACTGGTACATCTATGCAAATGTCAGGGTTTTTTTTTCCTCAATTCCTCAATATCCTTACTTACCAACCTTGTCTGTATTTTCTATTTGTCAGAATTAATGGAGCCTCCCATTCGTTTGGCCTGTATGCCAGCACAATGGTGTTTGGTACCATTGTTTGGATAGTGAAGTTCCTTGCACTCAAGTATGTCCTAAAGCTGCTGTTGACTTATCACAACTGGATGTATGAAGTGCGTGGGAAAATGTCTCTCAAAACAAAAATATGGTTTGTAAGTATTGGTTTGGTTCGATAATGTTTACCACTTATGCCACAGTATGCCCATGTACCCCAAAAGTCTATAATAATGAGCTATAAAATTAAAAAAGAAATGTTGTTACAAATTTGAAGTAACCTTGTGTCATCTTTTGCTTGATTCTTTCAGATGCTCTTTTATTTACACAGTGGTATGATCCTATCTTATTGGCCTGTTGATTTCAGATGGGGTATGACTGTATGCCATTTACTTCTCTCTTTCAGATGCTGATTCGTTTGTATGGTGGTAGGAAGCCTCTGCTGATGAGCTACCAGGCCTCCCTGCCCAAGCTGCCAGTGCCAGCCCTTAAAGAATCTGTGGACAATGTAAGCGTCTTGAGTTGAATCAAGTTAAACAAATCAAATGCGACAGCAGATTCACTTTAAGTAATTTACCCCTTAGGGATCTTATTTTGAACGCAGCGCATTGTTGTTAGAATTGCAAAGGATCATATTTTACTGTGGGTTTCTTAGTTAGTTTTGTCTGATGGCGTGCACATTTTTTTTTTTTTATCAAAAATGTTTCATGGTTTGTCAATATTGTGGAATTTTTATTTTTTTAAAATTTTTTTTACAATGCAGACCTGTTTACTCTCAAACGCTTAAAATCGTACAATATCATCACATAATTGTTCAGTACCTTATATTTATAGTAAAAAATAAACATACAGTATATATAATGTTGTATACCTCAAAAGCGTACATTGTACGCCAAAATCGTAAGAGTAAACAGGTCTGACAATGTCATGTTTACCATGGTTTTCAGATTATGGTGTTAAAGTTTGTTGGGTTTTTTTTTACATTGTGATGGATTACTAGATTTGCATATATTTTTTTCCCCCATTTTCTTCTGTTAGTACCTTCATTCCGTCAAGCATCTGTTGACCGAAGAGAGGTACAAAGAGATGGAGCAGTTGGCTGATGAGTTTTGTAAAGGCGTTGGAAAAAAGTTTCAGAGATATCTCATCCTCAAGTCGTGGTGGGCAGCCAACTATGTGAGGGGTGTTTGTGCACACTGTTTGAATTGTTAACATTATTACAGAAAGCATGAATGTTATTACAGAAAGTAGTTTGAAAGAAACATTCAAACTATTTTGTGGAACAGTGACTGCAGGTTGAAATACACCACGTATCAAGAAATAGGGTGAAGCCTTAGCAATGGACTTAAAGTTAGATTTTGGAAATATGTCCTTAGCCAGACTTAAAGATAAATTACCCCTGGGAAAAATATCTAAGAAACGTTGATCTAAAATCTCGAAATTTCTTCATTCTAAAATGAATAACTAAATGTCATTGCGTGACACAGGAGCCATCGAGTCCAAAGGATATTTGATCTAGAGGTAGTATAAAAAAATAGAGAGAAAGATGTGACTTATCACACTAGTGCCTTCGCAGACAAACCAAAAGAGTTGGTTACATAATACCTGTCTAAGAGAAGGCCAACTCTGAATTTAAAACCAGGAGCCAGAATGATCAACAAATTGATCGTGGGCACCTCAAATATAAGAAGAAGAAGAAGTCATTTAATTTTTAGCTGCCTTAGTGTATCACACAGCTCATTGAGATTGTCACATAAACAGATTTTTAACAGAAATGGCTTGTACTCTGCAGTTAAAGAGTGCTTCTAGTTAGGAAATGCTCACTGTGTCTCTTCTCTTCCCCAGGTATCTGATTGGTGGGAAGAGTATGTATATTTGAGAGGTCGCTCTCCTATAATGGTCAACAGTAATTACTATGGTGTGGTAAGTCAGGCTGAGAAATTTTTTGTCAAAAATGTAAAATTTCAGCAGTTTTCCTTTAATAAGTGGTAGCACCGGTAAAATTTCCATTTATTAGAATTGAATAATATCACATTTACCTTTTTTTTCATAACACACACCTGTTCCATCACCTGTTTATATTAACTATCAATATTATCTGCTTGTCCTTTACTGAGAGTTTATACACACTTTTAGTTTATACAGTTTATTCAAACACCGTCTTTACTGTTGACCCTATTACAAATGTTAATTTATACAGATTATTCAAACACCATCTTTACAGTTCGTTCACCCTAATACAAATTCCAGTATAGGAACATGTTAAAAAAAATTTTTTTATTTTCTTAGCGAAATTCCCAGTAATTTACAACCAATGATTTTTTTTTTTCAAATTTACCTTGATGATGATTGTGCTCATGTCTGTGTGTATTAGGACGCCTTACTGGTTCACAACACACATGTTCAGGTAGCCAGGGCGGCCAACCTGATCTATGCCATGCTCCAGTACAGACGAGAAGTTGACAGGGAGGAGCTCAACCCGGTCAGTTGTTGTCTTATGGTCATTCATTGCTGTCTTACATTCAGTTAGTGTTGTCTTTTGTTCCTTTGGTGTTGTCTTATGTTCCATTATTCTTGGAATAGGCTGACTAAAGCTCAGAATATTTTTTTTCTTTAAAAACCATGTTAACTCTAATGGACTAATGTTATGTAAGCTTGCCTAAGTTTGTATATAAATCTTAGTTCATTTACCATAATTTGAGATGTTATTTCTTTAAGTACTTTGGTAGAGTGTTTGCTTTAGTTTTGCATTTATTTTTACCTTTTAAAATATTAATTATTTATGCCCATTTCCCTTCAGCATATCTGCTGATTGTTTGATCTCCATTGAAGAAATTGTTGTGCCGCTCTTGGCCATTTTTTCATTTTACGTAAAATTCTGAAAATATCTAAAAAAAATTCACATTTGTTTTATTAATGGAGGAATTGCGATTAAATTTTTTTGGCAGATACTCATTCAAAATATAGTCCCTCTTTGCTCAGCACAGTATGAACGTCAGTTCAACACAACACGCATTCCAGGAATAGAAACAGGCAAGCTGACTCTTTTAATAATTTAAACGCTAAATGTCGAAATTTGTTGAACCATGATTATTTTTTAACTCTAACCCAGCTTGTTTTGTTTTTTTTTGTTTGTTTTTTTGTTTTTTTAAATGTGATCCAATTAAATTTCAGACTTACTTTTTAAAAATTAAAATTTGCTTATTGTTACAAAATTTAATAAAATTTTCACTCTACCAGTCAACCTGGAATTATTTTATGAGTTTGAGTTTTGGAGTTTTCAATAAAATAGCTTCCTCATTGTATGGTTTACATCCATCGCCAAATGTTGATGGCATTATTTGTTTTCCCAGACCAACTTGTCCACTGGAAGGAGAGTAACCACATCTCACTCTACCACAAAGGTCGTTATTTTAAAGTTTACATACGACACAAGGGAAGACTACTCAAACCTATTGAAATCGAAGTGTGAGTTATTTGATTTTGGAACATGGCTTTCTCATTACTGAAAAAGCTTTCATTTTTAGTACCTTAACAATTCATCTTTTTTCTGTAATGTAACTTACGAAAAGGTTGATTATTGTTCATGTTCTTTCATCTTTATCTAAATTATTAATAAATTTTCACTGTTGATGCTTGGACAAAAATTGATTTAATTGCATCAGGATTTTATGGCGAGACTATAAAAATTGATTTGTTGTGCCAGGATGCTGCAGAAGATTGTAGATGATGAATCTGTGCCTGCTGAAGGTGAGGAACACCTGGCGGCTCTAACAGCCGGGGAAAGGATACCCTGGGCCAAAGCACGCACGGAATACTTCAGCAAAGGAAAAAACAAGGCTTCACTCGATGCCATAGAAAAGGTAATGTAAATAGTATTTGAATGGCCCCTGCAACGAAGCAGAGCGAAAGCAAGCATAATTTTGAACATTTGTTAAATTTGATTTATTTCATTTGGGAATATTATTATTTTGTAACATTTAACAACTGAATCTTCACCTGAATAATACACTGCTGTTTTTATTATAATTTTAATATAAAGCAGCTAATGACTAATTGCTATTCTGACAGGCTGCCTTCTGTGTAACTCTGGACACAGAGCCCCAAGATTATGATCCTGTAAGTAATCAAGCCACTTCCTGTTGTTTCTGTTGAAAATTAAAAAATATATAATTTCTAATTTAAGTACAGTGTTGTATAGAGGCAATTGATCAGTCATGCAGATGTTGAAATGTTTGAGATTCAAACAAATATTATTCCATGATTATTTTTTAATTCAGTAATGTTTGTGTTTAAAAACAATGGCACTAATTTTCCCTGACAAGGATGACCCAACCAAGCTGGACAGATATGGAAAAGCCATGATTCATGGCAAAGGTTATGACAGATGGTTCGACAAGTCCTTCACATTTGTGGTGTGCTCCAATGGCAAGGTAAGGCAACATTTTCTTCTGCCATTGAATGCTAAAGGAAGAATTTCTGGGGCAAGGGTGCTATTAATTGATCACCAAAGAAAGCATTTCAGGGGCAGCGATGCTGTTGATTGAATTTAATAAAATGTTGTACAATGGCGTGACGGAAAAGTTATGATGAATATTCCCCCCCCCCCCTCTCAGGTAATTTAAAATTGACACATATAAATGTTGCTCTATCAAAATGAGAAGGATAAATGAATAATCAACCAGTTACAAATTCGTTAATAAAAAAAAGTACAAAGTTGATCTTTAATTAAGGCTATGCATTGAAAGTTGTGAAGCATTCGTGTGAGATTTTGAACATGAATTTAAAATGTGTTGGGAACTTGAAAACTATTGCCAGTTTGGTGGTCCCTGGAATTACCTTTATTTTATTTCTTTTTTTTTTTCAGATTGGTTTCAATGCTGAACATTCCTGGTAGGTTTTCCCACTAAATTTCCCTTTATCAAATTTTAAAACATTTAAATCCACCATTTGAAATAACGACAGTTTCTTCAATTTTTAGGATGACTGAATTTTGTTATGATTCTGATACGTCACATTTCTTTAAAACATTTTGTGAAAAATATATTTTTTTTATTCCATTGATTTATTTCACCATTAATTTTATTTTGTTTTCTTTTTATTTCCTTAAATTTGTCTCTTTGAGTTTACATTTGAACTTTTTATTTTTTATTAGCATTTTGTTTATTTTTACATTTTGCTCTTTTATATCAGACCTGATTACAAGACTTCATTACCTTTACAGAAAGGAATTTTTATTTTTCATTCACTGACATTAATGAAATTAGCTTGATTTTTTTTTTAAAGAGTTATTTCAGTTTGTGTCTGAGAAATAGGATATTGCTTTGGTACTTGGTGGCACAAACGAAAATTTTTCCACCCACTATTAAAACAAAATTTGGCTAGCCTTGTGTGAAATTGTATAAATGTTTCTATTCTTTTTGAGTGATCCAATTTGCTAACCAGGTGTGACATAGAGTAGCTTATTGAAATCTTTTAAATGAATAACTTCATTGATAAAGAAAGCTTCTTGCATAGAATATAGTTTTCCTAATTAGGACAATATTTGAATTGATAGATTGCCTCTAAAAGTATGACCCCACCAAAAAAAAAACACCACTTTTAAGAAGAAGAGTTTTAAAAATGTAATTCTTTTTGATAAGACAAATACAGTTTATACATTACTTTTTCTGGATGGGTCTTACTTAGGAGATATGAATATAAAATAACACACCTGTTCCAAAGTGTCTTACACAGCATGAAAATCGCAACTATTAATATCAACTAGAATGATTAGGGGTGTCATTCATATATTACTTACACGCTCTTGGGGAGAGGTTTTGCACACAGGCTAGGAAATACTATATAGTGTATGTGTAGGAAGGGCTTTTCAAAAGCTTGCACATCCTAGAGCTATGAAAATTGATAAAATCTGTTAACATTTTTTGTTCTGAATGTCATTGCTGTGGGTCAGTAGGTGGGGAGAGATCCATGATCAACTAGCTTGTCGTCCCCAAAAAATGGGAACAAGTGTATGTTGTTATATTGAAAATAAAAAAATGCAACAAAAAATAAACCTCACTTTTTATTCACACAAAAAAAGCCTTCAATAGGGATTGAGAGAGGGGGGGGTAAGAAGTTCTTCTGTATGCGCTCAGAGAAGTTTCCGAAAATGGACTGTGGGGGTAAAGGGGATATGTTAATGTAAATTTCATATGTAATCTATGAATGGCCCCCTGTCACAGAGTCATGTGTATATGGTTTAACAAAAGTTTCCACATGGGGCTGTCCTCTGTTTCAGGGCGGATGCACCCATCATGGCGCACATGTGGGAGGTTGTAGTGACCAGGGAACACATAGAATTAGGGTATTGATGTTTTTTTTTAACCATAGATGCATGCAGGGCACAGAGAGCATTGGTCTGTTGCTGCTCAACACATTAGCACGCTGTGTTGTAGAGTTTGTTCAAACAATAGCACACTGTGTTGTAGAGTTTGTTCAAACATTAGCAAACTGTGCTGTAGAGTTTGTTCAAACATTAGCACACTGTGCTGTAGAGTTTGTTTTTGTTCATGTTCTTGTTATCTGTCCAGCGGTGGTTCTCAACCAATGATCCTAATTTCTATTTGCGCAGATGTTGTTGTTGTTTTTGTTTTTTACATCTGGGGATTTTTTTAAAATTTTAACTTTGATTTTTAATATTCCATAATAATAAAACAAATCACTACGCCAGCATAATAAACAAAACAAAAATGACCTTAAACTATAACGTGAGAACACATCTACAGACACTTCAATATGTTAAGGACCACTGCTGGTTTGTTGATAATTTCGTTGGAGCAAAGGGAGTTAGCCCAAAGCATGTTCTTTACTTTTTGAAGGTTCTTGACCTTTCTTGACCTTTGGTGTTTTTGTTTGGGGTTTTTTTGTTTTTGTTTTTTTTGTTACTCCAGCTCCAAGAATGCCTACTTTTAATCTCCACACCTGCTTCTGTTCTAGGGATGGTTTCTAATAATTTTTTTTTAATTAACAAATAGAATGAAATTTTATATAAATTCTAAATTCTCCTAACAGGATTCTTTTTTTTTTTTTCTAACTATTCCAAACCTAAATTTTTAATAAGGCTGAAAGACATATTACTGTTAAATCTATAACAATACATTAGCATTTACTCATTAGATATCGTGTTGGTAACCGGCAGCAGTTACATGTTACTAATAAAGATTTACTGTGCGTTAATATTAAAAACACAGCTGCTATGATTAATACACAATTTTTTATCTTTTTTTAAACTTTATATGTTTTCAGTAGAGGTAGTTGCTTGTATTTCTTCATGCTCAAATTTAATAGCATTCAATCTGATTACTCAGGGCAGATGCACCAATGGTGTCTCAGATGTGTGAAGTGACATTTAGACATGATTTTGACCTTGGGTAAAATATTTGTCAGTGAACTACCCTTCCAAAAAAAAAAAAACAACAACCTGTACTATACTTCAAGCATGGCTGCTGTTGTGCCTTCAGATGACAGCAACAACATACCTTTAGACTTAACTAAACAAATTTTTTTAAAGATTTTATTTGAAGTTTATTATGTTTGCTGGATAAAGTTTTGCATGCTATAAAAGAAGTCTGATAAATTAGCGAACACCTTAAGTCACTAAACAACTCAGTATAAGGGGAAATCCCTATCTTTTTGGGACACACGTCTCTCAAGTAGTTTTTTTTTCCTTAAATAAATTAGTTTTGAGGCCAAGTGATGTTTAAATTAGGTCAAATTTTTTGTGTGTGTTAAATTGAAGGCTCCAGCCTTTCTTCCCCGCGGCACAGAACTATTCACCTAGGAAGATTTCTATAAATACTACTAAAATACGAAAGCGTATGCCCGGTGTCTTCTGCTGGTTTATTCTGGAACAATGGCGTTTCTACTTCCTCCTCATTTCTAACTGCTGGTTGCAACATCGGGTAGCTTTAAAGTGCCAATAATCAGAGTTCACTTGTGGCATCACTCGCTTTTACTGGCCTGGCTCTCAGAATCCTCACTTCCTTGACGTTCGTAATGGACAGCTCAGCACCCAACCCCTAGCAACACTGCACACATCCTGTTTGTAAAGCACTACACAGTCTGTGTTTGCATTGCACATTGGTTTGGATTTTGCACAGCACTCCACTTTTTTTTTTTTTTTTTTTTTTTTTTGGTTTTTCCTTTTTCCTTTTTTGCAAAAAAAAAAAAAAAAAAATTTTCTTTTTGTTTTTTTTTTTTTTTTTTTTTATCCCCCCCTTTTTTTTTTTTTTTTTTTTTTTTGAGGTTTTGCACTGTACCTTTTGTGCAAAAAAACAAAAAAACAAGTCATCTCTGCATTATTTTTCTAATTCATTTCATACTTGGTCATTTTTTTTCAGCATTATTCTCTTAGATCTGTTTTAACAACACCAAGCAGCCATGACAGAGGTCTCCCTTCAGTTTCAGTCAATGACAGCTTGGCTCAATTTTTAAAGCCAAACTGAACAGCTTATTACGTGGCCCAATCATTTCTGTTTCTTTCAGATGCATAGAGGTCATCCCTTGGGGCTGTTTCATTTCTTCTTAAAGTGTGATTCAAATTTTTTATTTTTTCAGAGCAATGATAAAAAATATTTTTAAAGTATTTTTTATTGTTGTTGAAGCATTTTTTTTAACTTTCTTGTACTCAAAAAACCTGTGCCCCATGCCTTTAAACAGACAGTTTAATTGACTTGTAAACATTGTTACAGTTCAATGACTCCACTGCCAGATCTTGTCGAGTGCCCACTTTTCTTATTTGACTGCATGTAATCTATTGACCTGTATGTCATCTTCTAAACTGTATATCATCACCAGATCTGTATGTCATCCCCTTTCCTGCATGTAGTCATCTGACCTAAGTCATCTCATGACCTGTACATTGCCTCCTGACATGTATGTCATATCCTAACCTATGTTTTCTCCTCTCTTGTACATCATCACCTGACCTGTATGCCATCATCTGACCTGTATGTCATCTCCCAAACTGTATGTCATCTCCCAACCTTATGTCATCTCCTTCCTACTAGGTCTTCACCTGACTTACATCATCTGACCTTTATGTCAATCCCATGACTTATGTGTCATCTCCTCTTTTCTCTTCCATCACCTGACCTGTGTGTCCCGGCATATGTCATTGCCTGACCTGTAAGTCCTCTCCTGGCCTGTAATTCATTTCCTGAACCATATGTCATCCTATGACTTATGTCTTCTCTTGACCTGTATTTTTTCTCCTGACATGTATGTCCTCTCCTGACCTGTATGTCTGCCCCAGACCTGTATATCATCTCCTGAACTGTATGTCCGCTCCTGACCTGTATGTCCGCTCCTGACCTATATGTCATCTCCTGACTTGTATGTTATGACACAGGGCGGATGCTCCCCTCATGGCACAGTTGTGGGAGGCGTGTCAAGAGCATGAGTTAAAACAAGGGTAACTTTACACTACTAGCACACATATCGAATTTTGTCTTATGTGACTGTGTGCAATGCTATACAATGTATGCTCATCTTATTGTACACATATGGTGCTTCATAGTGCTAATAATATTTTGTTGTTTGTGGGTGCTTGAAGCAAGGCTGCAGAGTCTTAACATTCTAGCGTTTTTTTTTTCAACATGTCAGCATGAGTCTGTTTGTTTTTACAGCTTCTATAAATTATCATGAGAGGGTTAATTTTCATTAAAGACCAAATTTCATGGTCAAATATATTTTTTTTATAAATCACCAAAAACATTCATTAACATACTAGTCGAGATAAATCTCGCTGAACCAATCTCGATGACCTTGACTCTGCAGCCACGATGTGCAGTGTGTTTCATCTTACATCCTGTCAGCTCTTCTTTCAAGAATTTTGTCAGTGAAACCACTATTTAGTGGACTATTTGGTGGGGGATGACGGTGCTTTTCAAAAATTGCTACACTGACATAGTAATCATATAGAAGAAATAGACAGTTCAATTAAAAACTGTAAGAAAATGTGATAGCCTTGGATCAGTTCAGTTAGGTGAAAAAAATAATGTTGAATTAGGGTCCACTAAATAAAGGTTATTTAGTTGTTTTTTTGTAGTTTTGATATTTTTTAAATATTTCTATTAGTAGATGGTGTTTATTACCTTATGAAAAAACTCCTTTGACTTTGATTATAATTTAATCTCCCTTCTTAGACTTGCACAGTTTTGCCTTGCTTTGCACTGGTTTTTAAACAGTTTTGTTCTAAAGCAATTCATTGCACTGGGGAAGACAATTTTGTTTAGAGAAATTATATTTTAAAAAGTTATTCCAATTTAATAGAATTTTTTTTTTTTTACATTTTATTATTTTTGATATGTTAATAAATAATGCATCAGATAACTTGGTTGTTTCTGATTAGTTTAATGAAGTGCTTTAAAGGATTTTTGTTGCAAGTCTGCAAAACAAGTTTCCAGTTCAGTATGTCAACTTTTGATGAATTCCCTTATCATAAAAATCTCTTTCAGCTCTTGATCTTCACAACTTGCTTGAAGCTAATTCCAATTTTTTAAAATTTTACTTTGAACTTGTTCTCTGCTAGTAAAAATTTGACATGAGTTTAATGTCTCATAAGAACAGTTTATTTTTTTGTAACAAAAAAGGTGCCAGTACTTTAGGGGGGTCATCCATTACAAAGACAGGCGTGGTGGGTGTGGGGTGGGCACGATATCATGATGAACTATTATGAGGGTGTCTAAATTATGGGAAAAATGTGTAATCATGGGGTAGGAGGGGGGGAGGGGTCCAAAGCTGGCTAAAATACTATGATATCATTTATGAATGGCCCCTTTATTTAAAAAAAAGAAATATGTTTTGGAACATGCCTCGTTAAAATGTGTAGTTTGGCTTCGCTTCTCAAGATCACATTTAGAGATATCAACAGGTGTCCTTATTTTCTTGTTCCCTGTCTTTGACTAAAATATTCTGGCCTTTTTATTAGCATGACAGGTGGTTGAGAAGTAATTGGTAATTTTTTTTTTCCATTTTACCAACTGATTTTTATAAGATAAGGAAATTATTTGCTGTCCGCACGGAGCGTTAGTACCGCCTGCGGCGAGTCGAGCCTTTCGCCACCTCCCATTTGATGAAGCATCCTGTAAAGGCCATTTTAATCATTTTTCTTTACTTGTCACGCTGGACAATTAAGATTTTGATACAAATGCACGTGGACCAAACATCAAATTATCAAAAGTTGCTTGTAAAAATCCGTCTTTAAAAAAGATGTCGGTACTGCTTTGTGGTGGGTTCTACGACAAAAAAGGTCCTGCATAAGACTTGTCATTGCATGACGAATGCCAAATGTACATTCATAATTTTTTTTATGTTCCAACATACAGTGTCTTCCTCTGACAATGTTGCATAAGCTGTACCCCAGGCTTTGCGGCGGGTTTGAGATCTACTTTTGTTCAGCTGACATTAACAATGCTTTTTCATTGTTTTTTTTTTTTTTTTAAATCCAACTGATATTTATTTGATGTTTTGCCTGTGGGTGGTGTGCAGGGCAGACGCTCCAGTGATGGCCCCGCTCTGGGGGGTGATTCAGGGTGGGCAATATATTTTTGTTTTGTTTATATTAACAATGCTTTTTTATTGTTTTTTTTTTTTCTTTAAATCCAACTGATATTTATTTGATGTTTTGCCTGTGGGTGGTGTGCAGGGCAGACGCTCCAGTGATGGCCCAGCTCTGGGAGGTGATTCAGGATGAGCAATACAAACTAGGGTATACCTCCCCCCTTCCCCCAACCAAATTCACACCTCTTGTAACACTCTTTATTATATTTTTTAAAGATGATCTATTGCTACCCAAGAGTAAACTAGTCATTGAAAATCATTGCTAGTGTATTCTGGCAACTGCTACACCTAATGTATCTTACCTAGCCACTATAAATGCATCTTCTATCTGCTTTGTTATTTAATATGGATGTACTTGATGCACCCTAAATTTAATAAAGCAATGGCTGGTGTCATTAATATATAAAAACATGTTATTTTTATCCTTACGTTAAGAGGTTAAGATTATAATAAGTTCTTTCTTTTTTTTTTTTTTTATAATTCTATTTGGGGGGGGGGGGGGGGGGTGTGTTGGTGCTGTGATCTGCTCTGCTAGTGTCTGATATTGTGGTGGAGAAGATTGAAAAAAAATTATTGAAGGCTTCAAATTATTGCAATAGTGGGGCCCCCAAAACAGTTCATATCTTATTTTAGGCCAGCAGCCCTCAAACGTTTTGAACGTGGGCCTGTTTACTGTCCCTCAGACACTGATTATAGTTTAAAAACATGACAAATTCCTATGCACACAACTTATTTGTAGTGCAAGAAAAAAAAAATCAGAAAAAAATTACAATATTTAAAACGAAGAACAATTTTAATCCTACTTAAACTTATTAGTATTTTAATGTGAATTATTGGTCGATTTCGGCTAATGAAGTTTGTTGATTGAGGGTTCCACACTTGTGCTACTAGGGCACTCGTACGGCAGGCAGGTGGGCCGCCAAAGGACCCCTGATTGGCCAGATCTAGCTTGCCGGCCATATTTGGAGGACCCTTGTTGTGGGGCAGCAAAGACAGTTCTCTTTAGTTGAAAGCTTGTGCCAGTACTGTCTTTCTTCTGATCTGGTCTATTTTAATGCCAGTGGGATTCTGCATTAGTGGCTATGTAGCCTTACTTAAAATATACCAGCCCACAAGAAGTTTTTTTGGATTTGAAAAATCACCCCAGTAGCACTATGTCATTCTTCTTTCTCCCATCTCTTTAAATTCTTTAATGTAACGGTTTGAAAACCTTTTAAAAAATGTATTAATTTTTTTTACTTTATACTGCTTTTTAACATTTTTTTTTTTATTACATTTATTTTATGTTGTCTCTCATATTTTATCTCTCTTTAGTCTTGCTTTGCGCTTGTAGCATTCTGCATTTCCTATCACGCTTCACCACTTTACTGCACGTCCACATCTTTGTGCAAATAGAAGCTTAAAATACAAATAAAAGCAGGCATTGATGTCTCTGTAGATACACCTAGGAAATTTGTTACAGTTGAAATATTATTTGAAGTGTATTTTAAGTATCTTTTAAAACTCAAATAAATTTTTTCCATAAAAGAGACAAAGACATAAATATTTATATCAAACATTATTCTAGCCTTGAAATCTGCTTATTTAGATGTTCATGTTAAATAAAATGGTCTTTGCACTTAACGTTTTAAATGTATTTTTTTGTGCCTAGGGCCAAGTCAAATGTTAAAAGTTATGCCTTAAAAACAGTGAAGCAAATCTAAAGTTATTTCCAAGTTATTGCATAATTTTTGTTTTAAAAAAAAAAAATTAAAAAAAAATTAAATATTATTTTTAAAGACTCCTGGAAAGTTATTTGTTGTGTAAATTAAATTAATTTATTACTAATATGTTTGTGTTACTTTAATGTTGCTTTGGGAAAGCCTCTTATGCACTTCTCTAACGTGTTTAAAGTATTTTTTTAATCATAATTATTGTATCTTTAAACTGTTCGAGTAAATATTAAGTGTATCCTAAATTGTATATAGTATAGCTATCCAAATAAATACTGGTTCTTTCCTAATTAGAGCATATTATTACTATTCAAATAAGCACTGGTTCTATCGTAATCAGTGAAAGAGTATAACTATTGAAATAAGTATAAGTTCAATCATAATTAGCTTATAGTACGACTAGTCAAGTAATGTGCTTTTAGACTTGTTTAATTTTGCTGTCCTACTTCTTCAGATGACTGATTAGAATAAATGCAATTTGGTGACACAGTTGATAATTTTTATGCTTGCTGCTTATCAACAGATATGACAAAGACGGACACTGTCGTGGGACACCAGAGTGTCAACCACCCAATCCAATCCGACTCGAATGGGAAATCCCTAAACCAGTAAGTATAAGTGCTACCATGTTTCAGCTCTACAACACAGTAATCAAAAAGAAGTGCAGTCTTGGTCTTTAAAACTCATATGTCCTGTAGGACCACAGTCTTGGCACTGGTGAAATTCCCCACCCCCAAAACTCATGATAGTTGACCTTATGTCTTCCTCCTCCTCTTCCCCCATTTGCGATTGTTGACAATACACTCAAAATTTCTCTCCCCCAGTGTCAACAAGTCATACAGTCCAGCCTGCAGGTGGCCACAGCCCTGGTCAATGATGTTGACCTGCACATCATGATGTTTAGAGAATTCGGAAAAGGTTTCGTCAAGACCTGCAAAGTCAGCCCAGATGCATTCATCCAGACAGCCTTACAGCTCACCTACTACAGGGTAAATTAAGTTGTGTAATTGTTTGAATATCACATAAATAGCTTATTGCTTGCAAGAAATTGATAGATGTGAAAGCCTAAACATTTGACTTTTTTTGCACCTGGGAGGGGGGAGGGGGGAGGGGAAGTATTATTTATACCAACAGAAAGTAGAACACCCATGTCATTAAAGTTATACTGATGTTCAAACCTATTTACATATTTACATAAACAAAAAGACAAGACTTGATGCATCTAAAATTTTGTTCCAGATTCCATTGAAGTATACATCTAAAAAATCATATATGTTAAATTATTTCTTGCGCAGTTGCATGAACAGTGTTTCAGCAAGATTTTGAGATCATTAATATATATTATACAACATATAAATATTTATATATAATCAGTTCTGATTTTTAGTTAAAAAATTATACATCTTTTTGTCAACCCGTAAATGTGTCATCTTTCTTAAAAATGCTTCCCTCTTCCCTAATGGCTACATTGTTGGCTACGTGGTAATGCCATAGCGCAGAGACCATAGTTGACCTCTTTGTATTCTTTTATCTAGATGATGTGTATGATCTGCACACAATCTCTTTCCTTGATATGTAATTGTCTTGAGAACTGAGCCAATGAATTATAAAAAAACTTGTTTTATCCAATAATATAATTAAGACTTTTAAGCCCATTCAGATGAGTTAATGTTGTGGGGCTTAGTTGAATCAAATGCTTCTCTCTCACCAGCTTGAGAACCAGTTCTGCCTGACTTATGAGTCATCCATGACGAGGCTATTCCGCGAGGGCCGCACGGAGACTGTGAGGTCGTGCACAGCTGATACCTGCAACTTTGTCAAAGCCGTGGTGGAGGGGAAGCCTGTGAGTGAGCTTAACTTGTGGGGGGGGGAAGGCTGGGGGTGAGCTTAACTTGTGGGGGGGGGGGGGGCTCATCTGTTAAACCAGTGGTTCTCAACCTTCCAAGTGCCGTGACCCTCTAATACAGTTTCTTGTGTCGTGGTGACCCCCAACCACACAATTATTTTCGTTGCTACTTCATAGCTGTAAGGATATGTGTTTTCAGGTGGTCTTAGGCGACCCCCAGGAAAGGGTCTCGCGACCACCAAAGGGGTTGAGAACCGCTGTGTTAGACAGTATCACCTTGGTTTTTGTCTGTGTGTCATTACATTTCCTGGGCGGCACAATCAGTTAGCCACAGGTTGTGTGTGTTGTTGTTCTGGGGTTTAAGTCCCAGCAGCACTAATATGTATTTCCCCCCCCTCCCCCCACCAAAAAAAAAAAGCCTTTTTAGGGTCCCACTATGGATGCTGACCTTTTTAGAGAAATGGGCTCACTTTAGATGCTAACCAATTTAAAAAAGACGTCATTAAGTGAGATGTACTGATACACTTTGGCACTATTAACAAACATGTATATATATAATTATATATATATTAGTATTTAAAAATTAAAAACAGTTATGATGTTGAGAAAATAATTTTGCCAGGACAAGGCAGTTCTCATTGGAAGTTCTCTTTTAAAGTCATTCATCAATCGAAGGCTTCTAATGATATAAATGTGTTGCTTTCCCCCCCCCCCCCCGGACAGAAATCTGAGTGCATCAAGCTGCTGACCGAAGCGGCCGAAACCCACCAGAGATTATACAGAGACACCATGACCGGTAAAGGTGTGGACAGGCACCTGTTCTGTCTGTACGTCGTGTCCAAGTACCTGAACAAAGACTCGCCATTCCTGTCCAAGGCTCTGAGTGAACCTTGGAAACTGTCCACAAGTCAGGTGAGATTGTGCCCCAGGTAAAGTAGTGTCCCTGGTAAACCACTCAAGCGACCCATTTTTTACCAGACTTCTTCTTCCTAGTGGGATTATTGTTAAGAAATAGATATAAAGACATTACATAATTGATCTACAATAAAAAAAATTTAAAAATTTTGCTGAGGTTCTTCTCCTTTAATTTTGGTGTTGGATAAAATACAAAAATGGCAAAAGTCAATGATGACAAACTTCAAAATGAATAGTTTACTAGCCTCAATTTTTTGTCTATATAAAATTATGATGATAATTTAAAATTTATTACAAATCTTATGAGCTGTTATTATTTAGTTATCAGTCAAGGAAAGTGAATTGTTATAAAAATGTCCCACTTAATATAAAATGATAGTATTGTACCTCCAATTCATTATCATTCATTTATTTAATAATGTGCACATGGTTCCATTACCAATAACTTCCTTCCACTGGCAGCAGAATTTTTTTTTATTAATCCTCACTCTGTCTGATTCCTTGTATTTACAAAAGTGATATATGGGCAAACAAGAAGTTAAGGGGACACCCAGATATTACCTATGCACACTGGGAAGCGGGCCCTTGTGGGGGGTGTCGGGAAATAATTTTTAAATACATATATTCTTCAATAATTATCCTGAAATTTAGGCATAAATCATAAATAGCCTATGTTATATCTCGAAAAAAGCCAAATGTCAACCAGAAATCTGTATAATCCACAACTTCAAAATACAGTTTCAATATAGACAGTCGTTTGAACATTTTCAGCCTTAATAATATATATATTGGGTATTCGGTGTTATAAATTTACCCTGCCCTAAGTATTCAATATAACTGGTGCCATCTGTTACTAAACTTTTAATGTTTGCTAATGTTGGTGTTTGAATTTCTCTTCTTGTAGACTCCCCATCAACAGACTGATCGCCTTGATCTGAACAAACACCCCGACCGTATTTGTGGAGGTGGTGGCTTTGGACCAGTGAGTATTTCAAATCAATGAAATAAAACTGCTCCCATCATTTCATAGAGTTTTGTTGTTTTTTTAACATAATATTTGATGCATTTCTTCAGATCCAGGTTAACATTTCTTCATCTCTGACTGTTTTTTGTTTTAGGGTAAATCAAGTTTTGACAATGTCCTTCCATGTTTGAGCATGAAATTTAAACATTTTAAATCTCTGTTGAAAAATAAATAATTCTTTCTTTCTTTTCGAAATCTTATAATATTTGAATTGAAATAAAATACAGACCTTGTTACTCTTACGATTTTGGGGGTGGTTTTGCGTACAGCTGTGCGTGGGTGGGATGCATGTTAAATGTTGTGGCCCGCCGAAAGTATCGTAAATGAAATTATTTCTCCATTCATTTTTTTTTTTTTTGTTAGGGTATGCGCCATTTTGGTGTACACTCCTTCTGGCTCATTTAAAAAAAATAGATTGAAATGAGAAATAAATTATAAAACAGTCTTAACATTTAGCAACTACTCAAATTAAAAAAATTATTTTTTCTTTTTTTTTTTTTTTTTTGTTAGGGTATGCGCCATTTTGGTGTACACTCCTTCTGGCTCATTTAAAAAAAATAGATTGAAATGAGAAATAAATTATAAAACAGTCTTACCATTTAGCAACTACTCAAATTAAAGGATTTATATAAAAGATGCTTGGTAGAAGGAACCTAATTTTCAACAAGCATTTCAATTGAATCTGCAATGATACAATACTATATTCACATGCACAGAAAAGAGCTTCCCTGCATTTTGAATTTATTTGTTACACATTCTGGGAAGAGGTCTCGGAAGTGACATTGATTAAAGTTGCGATTTTGAGATTGTAAAGTACCATTCTGAGACTAAATTGTACTATTTTGGGAGTTCTGGCCTAATCAGGTCTCAAAAAATTGCTTAGAATTGCAGTTAGAGCTGGGAGAACAATGTTATAAAAGTGACAACTGAATAGCAAATTACTCCATGTATATACATGTTGTTTTTTTAAAATTAAACCAGTGCCCTACTTGACATACTGAGGAAATCATCATTAGTGGACATAGTTTCTCTCTATGACAGTTAATTTTGTTACCTCAACATGTTTCCTCTCTGATCTGTTTTTTTTTTTTTTTTTTTTGTTTTCAATGCCATACATTTTCTGCATGAAAATGTTTCCTATATTACATAGGATTACTCTATGACATATTTATTTTCCCTCCATGACAGGTGACAGACGATGGCTACGGTGTGTCATACATGGTGGCAGGGGAGGACACCCTATTTTTCCATATATCTTGTAAAGTTTCTTGTCCACACACAGTAAGTTGGTCATCCTAGGGGAATCATGTCATCCTAGTGTAATCATGTCATCCTAGTGTAATCATGTCATCCTAGTGTAATCATGTCATCCTAGTGTAATCATGTCATCCTAGTGTAATCATGTCATCCTAGTGTAATCATGCAACATGATAGTTTTGATTGTTGTTTTCAACACTGAGTCAGATCCATTAGGTTACACAATAGATAAGAATATCTGAATTTATAAACTTCTTTTCCTTTTTTTTTTTTTAACTCTTACCTTGAATATTTTTTTCTTTTTTTTTTTTTTTTTTTTCTTTTTTTTTTTTAAATTTTATTTTTTTATTTTTTTTTTTTAAGGATTTTTGTTTGAAGTATCCAAGACAGAGAAATGCCAATACACTTGTTTTGCGTGGGCTCTTTTCAACACGCGTGTATTTCAGTACATTTTCTTATGTTTAGATCAACCATGTATGCAATAGGGAAAACTGATGCTTGAGAGCTTCATTTTTTTTTATATATATATATTTTTATTACAAATGAAATTTGTGCTGTTAACAAAAGATTGGGTTAAGAAGTTCAGCACCAACCTGCTCCTCCGGTGCCAAACCAATTCCTCGGATACTAAACTTATTTAAACTTCTTCTACAGGATGCACACAAGTTCGGGGCCACCCTGAAGAAATCTCTCTGTGATATGAGGGAGATTTTCACAAGGGATTGAGGATGGCTGGAGTTAAGCTCAAACCACCAATCGCATGCCACTATATACTTCCATGCACATCCGCCATCATGCTCTCTCAGTTGCTCTGTTCATCGGGGTCATATTTATTGCCACAATCTCCTACCAGTGAACCTAATTAATTGGTGTCTCTTATAAGTAAGCCAGCAAATCATTGTTACAATAATGCACATTGTATCACGTTTTGTTAATTCACTTGTGTTTCATATTTTCATAGTTTACACCAACACCTTTGTACATGTCACCCCTGTCAGTCCTGAGTCTTCTTATCTACGACTTTGTATTTACATTCTGTATAATCTTGTTCATCCCATCATGTTGCCTCATACTTTTTTGTACCGCCATTAAAAACCATGGTAACCCATCGACGAAATACAACTCTGCCTTACATGTTTCAAGTTTGTTGTTATATATATGATATATAGGAACTTAAGTGTACAGACCTGTGAACAGAAATAGGGGCATAAATGAAACTGTATTTCATGAAGAGTTTGTGGGGGTGGGGAGGGTCGGAGGGTCACCCACCCACTCCTCCCTTACTGCTATCACTGCCTGTGACCACATCATGTGACCACATCATGTGACCATATCATCATCCTCATTTCTGATGCATCCATATTTTGTATGATATATCTAAGTGTTTTTTTGTTGTTTTTTTTAGCATTGTGTTAAATTTTCATCATTTCACTCTTGTTTAAAACATTGCCACTGTTGATCTGTTATTTAATTACTGTGTGTTAACTAATTTAAAAAAACGGTCATGAGCCAATTGTTATAACTCTTAATTTAAACTACACAGTGTTGTAAAAAAAAAAATAATTTAAAAAACGGAGTGTCTTTCTGCCATTTATCATTTATAAAATCAATGCACAAGCATCCATATCATAATGCATCATTTTTCATTCAAGCTGTGATCCCTTTCATCATGATTGTTAACATTTCTTTAGTTAGTTAACAGACAAGGGGGTACTTTAAAGTTGTTTCTTGACGTAACATAAAAATGATTAAATAAGCACCATCCCATTCTTACTCCGATGACGCCTTCTGTAATAATGCATGTTTCTTCAAATTAGTACCATCACATTTGAACAAAATTGTTGAACTTGGACGCACATATAAATAATTCTGTTGATAAAGCTGTCCATCCTAACAATGCAATTAATTAAATTTATTTAAAGGGGGGGGGAGAGGGGGATATTTTTTTTCTTTCTTAGTAAGACCGGTGCCATAATATTTTCTCTGCTCCCAGTGTAAATTACGGGTCCATATCACAAGAATGACAAATTCATCTGACCTTAACTTATAATTTCACTCCATTAAAAGTTCAAAGAACCACAAGCCAATTTGATGAATGTGATGTTCATGTTGAATGTGATGTTCATGTTGTATGTGATCTTCATGTTGTATGTGATGAATGTTTCAGATTTTTTTTTTCTACAGAAAAATATTTATCTTTGCTGCTCAGTAAACCTTTATGAGAATAAAAAAAAAAACAAGCATTACTGTGCCATTAAAATATTTGTATATGTTTTTATATATATATATTTATGTCTGGTTCTCTTGTAACAAGGCAATACTAACATACGTGTATGTATCAATCAATGCAAGGGTGATGGACACTTAATATATTTTTTTATAACCACGATTATCCTATGATCAACTCAAGGAAGTGTATGAATTGTGTTTAAAACACTAGAATCATTTAACCCTTGTCGTGCTGCGTAGGTACAATTGTAACTTTAGCATTTTTTTAATTGAGGTAATTTTTTTATCTTTAAGCTGTAGAAACCTGAAATTTCTTGACATCTCTACATTTTTTTCATCACATGTGCTCGAGATATGGGGTCAAGTTTTATTTACACCGAAAACAATAATGAGCAGAATGGCTACAATTGCACCTTCATTCATATATTTTTTATGAAATTTCTCAGAGTAGGTATACTTTCTGTACAGTTTTCAGTACTGTATCTTTCTGTACAGTTTTCAGTACTGTATCTACTGCTTGTACCGAGTGTTGATTTTCCCAATTGCTGACATCTGTAGGGTAGTTATTGAAAATGGCCCTTGTTTTATCAATTTTGTTATCATTCGCAATTTGCATGGCATGGAACATATAGGCATACATACAACAGAAGATTATTTCGATTACCTTCACACAATAAAACACAGACACTTGCTGTAGGAGTGAATGCTACATGTAGTGACCAGACTGGAATTGTTTGATCTTCAAACTTTAGAATTAATTCTATTTATATTGCAGCATGCACACCTACAGAAGTCCTTAATGATATTAATAATAATAATAATACAGTGGTCTTATATAGTCCAGTACCCCTGAATGCACACCCACAGAAGTCCTTAATTATAATAATACAGCGGTCTTGTATAGTCCAGTACCCCCCAGCTCACTGCACGTCACATAAAAATCTGCGAAAATAAACATGACATTGAACATTACCTTTTCTCGTTTACATCAATCAGCTGGTGAGGGAGGACCCAGAAAATCATATTTATTTGAATAGAATTTGGTTTTTTAATCGTGGGGGCGCATGAAACAATTTAAAATCAACATGGGGGTGCTGGAAATTTTTTTAAATCAAGATGGGGGGGGTGCTGGAAATTTTAAAAAATCAAGATGTGGGGTGCAGGAAATTTGTTTAATCAAAATTGGGGTTGCAGGAAATTTGTTTAAATCGAGATGGTGATGTGGGAAAAGTTAATCCATCTAGAGGGGATGTGGTGCTCCAAAAAGGTTATTGTATATATATTCAGAATTATTTCATGTAGTTAGGCCTACCTGTGAAATAATAATGCTAGATTCTTTTGTTCTATTTATTTTAGTATGGATTCTTTCAGTTTCTTATTAACGTTACAAAGTCATATTTTTCGGTTTTTAGAACTGTATTGGTATATTCGCTTAACGCAACCGCCAATTATTATTTACATTTACTAAAGCCTAGGGCTTGAGCATGCAGGAACCCATGGTTGGTGTTATACATATTAATTTCAGGAGGGGGGGAGATCTTGGATAAGTTCCCCACCCCCTTTTTCCAGCACTTGACTGTTGAATAGCATATGCTTCACCAGGTGTCAACAAGAAGTTGTTTTTTTGTTTTATTTCCCTGGTTTTGCATCACTTCTCTACAAACATAATATAATGCAATTCCACGTGTATTGCGCTGGATGAAAGTAATAATAAAGCTGTGGCCATTTGGATAAACCAAAATTTCGGAAAATCAGGATTCTGAAAACGCACACTCTGCTGTACTGCTTTTTTACAAAATATAACCTAAATAATGTGTAGGTACTGATTACATACAGTGAGAATTTTCATACAAAATATATGAAGGTACAATTGTGCATACTTATGCTACCTGTTAGGGTTGTAAAATTATGCTACATGGCGAGGGTCAAGTTTTCTCATAATACAATCCCGGCAGCTGATGTTTAGTTTTCTGAATTTTTTAAAAAATCCAATATTTTCAAACAGAGCGTAGGGTCCACAAAATGCTGTTTTTTTTTAAATTTTTATCTACCTAAGTTTTTTTTTATTTTCACTGATTAGAAAATAATTACCTTTTGAGCCTTATTTTTAAATTTACCCTTTATTCCTGATACAACCAATCTATTTTTTTTTTTCTATTAAGTATGGAAACCATATCTATAACAATGGTTAGTAGTACAGGGTTCACCAAAAAAATCAAACTAAAAATCTTTTAAAATGAATCAATTTTTTTTTTAAATCTGGGCACAAGAGTGCTGCCCCCTTTTCTTTCCTGGGGTGTCCCATATGTTGTACAGTTTAGCCAGGTTACTGTGTACCAATTTCTACTTACTACACCTATCTAATGTATTCATGCATAATTTTTTTTTTTTTTTTGGTGGTTAGTTTATCCTCTCAAAGTATCTATTTTATGGATGAGATGGATAAATATTTATTTTTATTTTATAATTTACCTTTTTTCTTAATGTTAACAGTTGACCTGTGCATCAAATATTTAGCCCCTGCCTTATTTTTATTCTTTTTTGAGGCTCCTAGTTTTTCCATTATGTCATCCAGATGAATGCATGTTGATTTGAACAAACTAGACAAGCGGAGAAACTGTCAAAAGCAATGGATCCTCAATCCAGTTATCCGGTTGTGTGGATTATGGTTTTAAAGAACAATTGAAAATTAAGGGTAAGGTTTGGGGTTTTCTAGCATTTTGTCGGCTTCCATCCCCAAAAGTTTGAGAAGCTCTGTTGGCTATAAATCGGTTCTGGCTGTGGACACTTAGGACAAGAGATATTGGCTTGTTGACAAAGTAAAACCCCGGTTATATTGGAATAAAAATTTTTTTACATTTAATCTTTTGAAAGGTTCTAATTTTTAAAATTAAATTTGGTGTGCTTTCAAATGTTTATTTTATTTTTTTTTAAATGTCATTAAAACAAAACACAAAAAAAGCATCTTTGAAGCATTCGTTTGATTTTAATCTTTTGTATCAATTAATTTTAATGTACAGTCTTGGCTTGAAGCAAACATGTTTTCTTTTGCAACCTTCTCCTTAACTGACCAACATAGGGAACAAGGTTAACGGAAATTTGTTTGAAAGAAATTTCGTTGACGGAAATTTGATCGATCGGAAATTTGGTGGATTCTCTTTTTCAGTTCACACGTTAAAATTTTCGTACAATTTCTTTTTGAACGCACCATACTGTACAGTAAAACAAAAGAAAGTTGACGCAAAATTTTAACATGAACTTAAAAAGTTTTGACCAAATTTCCGTTTGATCAAATTTCAGTCTATCAATTTTCCATCGACAAAATTTCTTTCAAACAATTTTCCGGAAAAGAGGCAACAAGGGGGAGTCTTATTTCTTGACTGTTTTGGTACGGAAGATTTGACCACCCAGCATTTTGTGAAACCACATGTTGCCATGACCACTTTTTTTTTGTACACAAAAAGTTTATAGGTAGAAATAATTAACTAGATTATTCCAATCTATTGAAAACAATTTTAACAATAAACAATATGTTGAACAACCTTTGCTCTCAAATTGTGTTGCATTGTACAATATTATAATCATACATACATCTGGTATAATTACACAACATAATCATACAGATATCTGGTAAACAATAGAATCATACAGATATCTGGTCAAGTGGGCATGAAATCCAGGCATGGAAATAAGTATTGCTACCATATGGATTGGTAGGCATCGCCATGCATGTTGATAATCAAATAAACTATAGATCATAGTAAACGGTAGCAAAAAGTATGTAAGCCTTGTAGGCCTATAGGTAATTGTAGAATAGTGTTAAGTAACTGCCATGAGTAACATCTCCAGCCATCATAAGTAACAGGTGACATAAGTCATTGCCCTAATTTGGTCATTACGAAGTGCAAAAACTTCAAAATGGCTGTAAAAAGGAAAAAAAAATTAAAAATTATATCATCTTACAATTGTATCCCTACATTTTACACACACGATAACAAATAAATTTCTGAGTACCAGTGGTTAAATAATTTCCATTGGCATTAATTTTGATATTTGCATTTTTTTTTTTTTGGCCAGATATAGACTTTATTTTCAATAAATTAACACATTACTTTACCCTTTCCCGTGAATTGTTCACGGCACGGTGGACCCCACCTGTCCAACGGAGCACTGACATTCACAGAGGCACATATGGTTTACATATACTAAAATGATTTTTTTAAAAGCAGATACATTCATTGACACATTCACTGACCATGAGTAAATGAACGCATTAGCAAGGATGAACACGTTTTATCTCAACCCAAATAAATCCACTGGGCTTGAGCGTAAACCTCTGGCTTTCCGGAGAGGAAAAAGCTTCCACAGGCACAACGTCTCGTCTGCCCCGGCAGACGCCATAGTCGTCTTGTCCGGGGAGAGCGCAAGATGGAGCGGCCTGGCCTGATGAGCGGTCAGCGTATTCTGCAGGCTCAAGGTGACATCTTTGGCGGACCAGATTAGGATGCTGTTGTCAGGGTTGCCGTGGCAGGAGATTAGCTCCTTGTACTCTACTGACCACACCAAATCTAAGGTCTGTAGAAGGAAAAATGAAGGTACACTATACATCACAATTTCATATTTACGAAACCATTCCTCTGAGGTGCATCTACGGGTTTGTGATTTCCGGTGTAGACCTTGACTTAGTCGATCCTCACTCACGAAAACCACGCTGACATAAGCCATATAATATATTATATAAATGTATATTTGACTGAAAATTACCCCAAAACCCAAATAACATAACAAAAAGGGTTACTCTGAACCATGGGCGCCCGCAGAAAACTTTCTGGGGGGGGGGGGCAAAAAAATCGATTAACTTTCCGGGGGGGGGGGCAAAAAAAATTTTAGTAATGTTTTAATGTAGTTTTAATTTACTGT